AATCCCGCCGTAACACACTCCTTTCCATTTGCTGGGAATAGGACCAAAACTTTGTTCACGAAAACTCTCTGATTCTGGCCAAATTCCAGAATCAAGTAACTCCTATGACTATATCACTCTCAAATGCAAGATTTCGGGGGGCACTTATAGGAAAACAAATAAAGTCGCACGATGCTGTTGTATAAGTTGAAGCCTTTTGCTTGGAAATATAGAAACCACATGATCATGAGCTGCAAATTTAGTTAAGAACTCACACATTAGTGGAAGATTAATAGAATTCAAAAATCAGGAAAGTTGAAAGAGACTAACGTTGCCAAATTGCACAGAACAGCCAACTTTTGCTGCTCTTGCTTTGTAAGGTAGGCTGAAAATCCATTGAAACTCCTAGTATAACTTCTTCCCAAGATTTCCCCTTGATAATTTCCACGACATAAAGAAAAAGAAATAAATAATGTTATAAAAAAGTTTTTTCTATGCATCAATTGGTATGTAGTATAAGTTTGTGGGCACTGAATATATGCATTAATTGCTATCTTAAGCTTCTTCCAGGATACTAACATGGTGCTCGGAAGCAGAATATTTTCTTTCAGGATGCGATTCCACGTAAACTGTAAACCTGTCATCAAGTAAAAGAAAACTATCATTTCTTGACTTGCTGCATGTTATTGAATTTGAACGCTTCAGTTATGCGACAGTTATATTTATCGTGTAAAATGTTGTAGTTATGATCACTACATTGAAGTACAATGCTGCAAATTCAATATATTACCCGATACCCATTAATCAAAGAAAATTAATCTTTTACAGAAATGAAAAGCGAAGATATCAATAGCAATATTGCCAATACTGACGGGCAACATATCCAGTTCTATAGGCAACATTAGCCATTGTTTTCAAGAATTACATTTTCTAGCTCCAACTATATATTGTTACTTATGTTCCTTCATGTATGTTAATCTCTATTAGTACATTTTTTCAGACCTAAAAGATTTCTGGGTCGTACAATACGAAATCAAAAGGTGATGTGTACAAATGGTCCTTAGAAAGGGTAAGCCTGTCTCTTAGGACTTAAATACAAGGATCAAAGATGCATGCCCCATTTTGTGCATAATTAATATCAAAAACCAACCTGATTTGTTTAGAAAAGTTTTGTTAAAACAATGCAACATTACCTTTAGTCAAAAATCGTGGGCTATTGTTGCATTTATGAGTTACATAAAAGTCATCCATATAGGCAGAAGAAATCCAGCATTTCTTGCGGCTTTGGAGTGCTTCGTTTTACTCTTTTATTGGCAATGGACAAGCAGCCGAATGTGGGAATTGTGGGTGACAGATCAACTTGGTTCATGCTTGTATCTTGAGCCAGATTTGCTTGTGAAGTTCACCGAATTTTCCGGCAATTGGGCATGAATTAGAAGAGAAAACTTACAGGTGCATATAGGATCCTTGCTAGCATCAATAGCGATCTCATTTGCCATTCTTGGCATCCCATTCAACGAAAATAAGACAAGCTCAATTAGAGTTGAAGCTCTTAGAATGTTCTAATATTTAGAATGTAGTTGAGTGAGTGTTTGAACAGATATCTCAAGAATGAGACTCTGATAAGATTAGAGCAAGTATGCTCAAGATTTGAAGCGAGGCTCAACTTAGTAATGTTTTGTGCAAGATTATTTGTGAGTGTTGTTATTTTATACATTTTTTAGTGTAATGTATTATTTGTTTGCCTTTATTATCAGTAGATTTAATCCATTAATTTGGTAAACCCACCACAATCTAACAAAGTTCTGTTACTCGGGGAGTCCCATGGTCACAGTACTTGTACAAAATAAAGATTCCAACATAGATATGGGAGGGCAAAATAGAGAGTCTGAAAAACATAATAGAAAAGCTTGAGAAGGGAAGTGGACAATGCGCCAATGAGAACAAGAAAATAAAGTTGTGACTCAAATATTTAAGATCACAACAAAGTTTTCATTTCAATTGTTCTAAATGCAACAACGAGCTGCATGCATTTTGACTTGTCTTGTTACATTGACTAATATTTCTGAGGTCGTAATTAAAATGTGTAATACCTTTCCTATTTCGGATGGTATGAATTATGCGTTATGTTTCTTGTAGGGAGATGTAAGTTGGCCTACCTACCTTCCATTTTTGCCTATAAAAGAAATTTTTTGTTCAATATAATACTGGAACTAATAAGAATTAGAAAAGTATTTCTATTTCCAGTCAAAGAAAATCGAGACATCAAAACCAGAAACCTTATTGTAACTTGAATGTTTGTGATGTCTTTTGTAAGCATTATTTTCCATTCAATTGGTACTAGCTCAATTATCTTTAGTAAGGTTCTATTTGATAATTTAATTCAGCATTTAAATTTAATGGGTTCAAATCATAACATGTTCAAACGCATTTGATAACTAAAAATAAGACATTTGAATTAATTAAATGATACTGAATTTTGCAAAACTTATTTAAAAAATAAGTGATAAATTATTCAAGTATCACTTAATGTGATATACATTTAAATGTTTCAATTTAGTACTTAACAATTCAGTAAATTAACGAATTTAGACTTTAGATTTCAAATTTCATTTTTCAAACTTTAGTTTTATCAAACGTACCCTAAGAGTGTGTTTGATAAAACTGAAATCTGAATCTATTAAATTATTGAATTGTTACGTATTAAATCTAATACATTTGATTGCATATCACATTTAATAATAAGTAAATAACTTATCATTTAATTTTGGAAGTAAATTTTGCCTAGAAAATTTAATGTTATTTAATTAATTCAGATATTAAATTTTTTGTTATCAAACGATTTGAATATGTTAAAAATTGAATCCATCAAGTTTAAATGCGATATTGGGTCATCAAACGGAATCTAAGTCTATTGAAGAGGATTGAACCAATAAATTTGATGACTTTCAGTTTAACAATATATTTAACAAATTATCACTGCCCAATAAGGGCCCATCTAAAAACACTTGAAATAAGTGCATGCTTATTTGGTGATTTCCGGTTGGGCTCCCGCTGCTCTTGCAGTGTCCATTAACGAATTCCTATTGTCAAATTTGGGTCGTATATCCACCAGGCCATGGAATTTATTTACAAAGGGAAATTCTTCTAAGCTGTGAATTTAATTAGTATAACGAGAAATAATTTGAGAAAATTACAACAAAGTACAAACCATATGTGCAAGTTTTCTCAAACACATACCAATTATGAATAGCTTAAGAAATGATGAATAACTCATCTTTGTTCAGCTTTTCCTTTTGGCCCATTGATAAATCTTCTTTGTTCCCTCAAAAAAAAAAAAAAGGAAAGAAATAAACTTCATCTTTTTAATTAGTGAATAAAATGTCTATAAAGAGAAAAAGATAATTAAATATCTTAATACTAAAACATTTTAATACTTAAGAAGTTTAAAAAATTTTGGTATCAGTTAGTGATAATAATTTCTCCTAACGCATTCTTTTATCTACTACAAAAAAAAAACGTTATAACTTATTATAAAAACCATCCAAAATCACATTGATTCTTAAGTATTTCCCTTTCTCCTTGTAAGGAATGAATTGCATCCAAATCAGGTTCCTTACAAGTGGCTAGCACCCTAATGGCCTAATCCATGGAAGCCATATTACAAAAGTGGACTACAAAAGCTAGGGGAATATAATTTCCCATACTCCTTATTGTAATCATTCCCAATTTACCTTGGCATGTACTGGTTTGTTACAAGACTTCAATCACTGGCTCTGAACCTCTGGCTAGTATGTAATGGCAGATTATCTACTAGGATCAGAGGCAGTTACTAGATTGGAAATCAATACCAGACTAGTAGTGCCCTTTATCTTGTTGCTTTTGTCTCATTGGGTTCTTGAAAACAAAAGGCTAGAGAATCACACCGGGCACAAGTTGCAGTAAATGAATTTTGATTGAACATGAATTTAGCATTTTACCCACCTCAAATGCTATTCTGGAAAGTTGCCAAAACTGAAGTTTAAGCTCAAAAAACTGCTTGAACACTGCCCCAAACAGGGCCTTTTTTTTTTTTTTTTTTTAAAAAAAAAACTACTTGAGTAAGTTCTACGAAATCCAGGACTAGAAACTCTTGTTCCACTTGATACGCTGATTGTCTTGATGCCATTTGCCTAACTTCTGAGTGGATCGGGACTGGAGAAGGAAGACAAACGCATGTGTGGCCTTCATTTATGCCCCGTCTGCTGCTTCAGAATCTAGTTGCAGTTCCCGTCTAAGAGGAAGAATCTAAAGGACAAAAAAACAAGCAGAAGACTTTAGTAGTCATGAAATTATCATTGGTCTCCTCAGGGGTGGAATTTGACAAAATCCTGAATACTAACATGTTGATATTGGCTACCCAGAACAGAAAGTTATCGCTAAAACAATTATAAGCTAAGACCATCATTTCTAATTTTGAACTTACTTTTCAGTGTATCTAATTCTTATTTGTATAATTGCTAATTTTTTCTACTAATTAAGTCAAAAGAGAATTGTTTTGAATGATCTTTTTTCTTTTTTGAAAATTGTAATATAATATTTTGATCATAAGCGCATTTGAGATTTTCAAAGATGTTAGATAGTGATTCTTGAAAACAATGAAAAACTCCACCCAAACAGATAAGCCATGTCTGTTTCTTTTTCTATCTTTCTTAGAGGTAATCCACGAATTGGACACTAAAGAAGAAAACATTGTAACATTGACATATTAGAACACTGAAGTTCACATTACCAGAAGAATAAAAAATGAGGGATGAGAGCTGACTGAAATTATGCAGGAGGATTATGGAGAGATAAGCATCTTCGAATCATTCCTAGAATACAAGACAAGACCATCAACATCTCTGAAATTTCTCATGTAGAAAATTTGTTAAGAAGATTAACATGTACGCGCAAAATGATAGCAGCCAATCGCCCTATATAAACCCCCCAAGCTGTGGCATCTTGAAACCACAACCAGCTACCAGTTCACTTAGAATTTTTGAAACACCATGAAGTTCACCTACATTTTGTCCGTTTTGGTTTTGTGCCTAACTTTATACTTAACTTTCGCCAATGCTGCAAATTTCAACATCACAAACAAATGTACCTACACAGTTTGGGCAGCTGCTTTCCCAGGCGGTGGCAGGCGGCTCGACCGAGGCAAATCATGGTCCCTAAACGTGGCTCCTGGCACCACCCACGCTCGCATTTGGGGCCGAACCAATTGCAACTTTGATGCCAAAGGCCAAGGCCACTGTCAAACAGGTGACTGCAAAGGGCGCCTCGAGTGCCAAGGCTATGGAAGTCCTCCAAATACGATAGCTGAATTCTCCCTAAACCAGCCTAACAACTTAGACTACATCGACATCTCCAACATTGATGGATTCAACATCCCAATGGAGTTCAGCTCTGTAACTCCGTGCCGCGTTATCAAATGTTCAGCACCTATTGTTGATAAGAACTCCAGGTGGATGCAACAGCCCCTGCACTGTTTTTAAAAGAAATGAGTACTGCTGCACCAATGGCCCAGGAAGCTGTGGCCCGACCGACTTCTCCAGGTTCTTTAAGAGCAGGTGCCCTGATGCTTATAGCTATCCTCAAGATGATCGCACAAGCTTGTTTACTTGCCCAAGTGTTACAAATTATAGGGTTGTCTTCTGCCCTTAAAGAAATCCAGATATTTAAGGTTCTTGTGACAGCTTATATGCTCCAAGAACTTCACTAGAAAAATAAATTATGAAGAAATAAACGCATATGTGATCCTTCTGGCAATGGTTCACTGGAATTGGAATAAATTTGAGCACATATAGCATTGTGCGATTTGTCTTCTTTATCAGCTTTTTGGCTCTTTAAACAACTTATGAACTAGATCACGAGTTCAAAACTAATGAAGTTTTACTAAATTAATCTGTAAGAAGGATTTACAGATCTCTAGTTTTAAAATAGACTGTCAAAATACTTTGTTCCCCGCACTTCAAAAATTTGAGTCATGTTTAGGTTTAACTTACATAGGAGTATTCATTTGTTCTTTTTTTTTTTGGAATTCAGACTATCTCTCCAGTCAAATACTAAGATGTCATATAAATGAAAATAATTGTTTTAAGTGTACTACACAATCATACTTTATGTATATAAATGTTACCACGAAATCCAGAGTAAGAGAAGTTTGTCTTACAAATATTGAAGAAATGGGAGCTTGGTGTAAATTCAAAACAAAAATGGGGATTTCCATACTAAGGTAAACCCCAAAACAATTGAAAATGATCATCTCATGAAATAACAAAGATGGTGATATGAAAGTTTACTAAGTAAGATAAAGGTGCGATTAAGGAGCTCAAGTGATGAGGAAACTCGTAGATGCCAAATTGATAATTTGATGCACTCATGCTAAATAGTACTAATTCACTCCTAAAAGCTGGATTTGGAGCCACTGCTAGCAGTTCCATGAAGTTCAGTTCGATTGTTATATTTATTACGTTATATTGTTATGCTCTTGGAAAAAGTAATATGCATGAACGAAAATACTTGGTATGTAATGAATACAACATTATCATGTAGTTGTCTACCAAAAATTTAAATATACACAATAAAATAATGCATATCTATTCAAATTATGTATCAGAAAAGAGTTAAATGTTACTATAAGGATAAAAAATTAAGTGATTATATATTTGTTTTGAACTATATTTTTAGGAAAATCATAATATAGCATCTTATTAATAACTGCTTTTGTGATATTAAAAGATGTTAGAAATAATTCCTGAAATTAATCTGGTTAAAAAACGCTCCATTCAAACAGAAAATTCATGTCTTTTTTTTTTTTTTTTTTTTCCTTTTTTCTCTTACGTAGAGGTAATCCACAAATTGGACACTTACGAAAAAGCATTGGAACATTGATTGAAAGAACAATCAAGTTCACATGATCAGATTAATAGAACAAAATGAGGGATGAGAACTGACTGAAATTATGCAGGAGGATTATGGACAGATCCGCATCTTTTGAATCATTCCTAGGATACAAAACAAGACCATCAACATCCCTAAAATTTCTTATATAGAAATTTGTTGAAATATCTACACGAACATGCAAAATCATAGCAGCCAATTCACCTATATAAACCCCCTGGCTGTGGCATCTCCAAACCACAACAGCTACTAGTTGACTTAGAAGGTTTGAAGCACCATGAATTTCACCTACACTTTGTCCCTTTTGGTTTTGTGCCTAGCTTTATACTTAAGCTTCACCAATAGCTGCAAATTTCAACATTAAGAAAATAAACACATAAAACAATTAAACCTTTACCATGTATTCTCTTTTACTTATTGATCAGTCATATCATGAAATAGAAAAGGGTTGTAGAATTACTTATAGAAATATATTCTAGGGTAATGATATATATTCCATATGATTGATGAGAAACGAAAATGACTTGCCTGCCTTTCTTCATCAGAAGAGTACCTAATAGCCCCACTAGAATTGCCAGTACATATAAGAAATAAGATGCTGTAAAACCAAAAAGAGCAGTGCAGCCACCGTTGGCTTCTAAATATCAGCATAGTGATTGTTATGGCTAGAACAACTAACCACCCAAAAGCATGTTTTAACTTTTCCCTAAAGTTGTGACTTAAATGTTCAACATGACAACAGGGTTTTCATTTCAATTGTTCTAAATGCAAGATCGAGCTGTAATATATTTTTTTCCTTTTATTTAATGTAAGTGAAAGCATTCAAATTTACGACCTCGTACTTGCACTCTCTTCCCCTGAACTATCCAACCGATCCCATCCCCTGAGCTGTATTTATATTGACTTGTCTTGTCATATTAATTAATATCTTTTAGCGTTGGAAAGGAAATACAAAAAGTTTAAACAATAGTGATAATTGAGTAATTTTTCTGAGATCTGAATTGCAAAGTGCAATACCTTGAAGGTGTAAATTGACCTACGTACCCACAAGGTGTAAATTGACCTACGTACCCACCTTCCATCTTTTCCTACTGCTGGACAAATAAAATAATATTTCTTTGCTCAATATAATAGTGGAATTGGTAAGAATTAGAAGAGTATTTCTATTTCTAGTCAAAGAAAATTGAACAAATTTGACAAATTTCAGTTTAAAAATATTGGACAAATTATCGCTGCCCAATACGGGCCCAGTCCATCTAAAGCACACTTGAAGCATAGAGCAGATTGATTTGGTTGTTTCCAGTTGGGCTTCCGGTCCTTGATCCGTGTCTATTAACGAAGTTGTATTGTCAATATTGGGTCGTATAATCCACCAGCCCATGGAATTTAATTTACAAAAATAAATTTCTTTTAAGTTGTGAATTTAATTAGTAGAACGAGAAACAATTCAGAAAATTAGTATAAAGTACAAACCATATAGTACATGTTTTTCTCAATAAAATACCAATTATGACTAGCTTAAGGAATTGATAAATAAATAACCTTTGTTCAGCTTTTCCTTTTGGGTGATTCCCATTAATAAAATCATCTTTGTTCTCTCAAAAAAAAAAAAAAAAAAGAAAGAAAGAAAGAAACGAACTCCATCCTTTTAAGTGGTAAATAAAATGAATACAAAGAAAAATATAAATAAATATCTTAACACTGCAAAAAAGAAATTGATATTGAAACATACTGATATTTAAGAAGTTTTATAAATTTTGGCATCACCTACAGATAAAATGATATCTCTGTAATGTGCCTTTTATTTACTATAAAAAAAAAAAATACGTTACAGAGGTTCCAGTGGCAAAGGTAGAAATACTTTTCAGTTGGGGCACGAATTAACTTTCGCAATTTTTTCCAATTTACAAGTGGCCAATAATAACAAAAGATTATTTTTTTTTAAAATGATCAAATCTAATAGACTTGATAAACTACCACTGCTTTGTTGATGAAAAATACAAAGTTATGGACCAAGGCAAAGTAAATATGCAAGCAAAAGTACGTTGGAACTCGGCATCTAAAGATTTGCAGCTATTTGCTTTCTTCTTTGGTTTACTTTTTGATAAATTACAATAATGACTATGCTATATAATAACTATTACAAAATCCAGCCAAGGCACAATTTAGAATTTTCAAGAAATCTCAAAACTATTCTAGGTACCTCTTTTAGGTCAATAGGGACACGTGCCCTACTGGCCACAACGTAAATCTACTCTTTTTTTTTAGGTAAAAAAAAAAAAAAATTGGTTGAATTTGACTTCGATCATTATCACAAGTCAAAACCTGTTTTCGGAACTGTAAGTCGCTTACACAAGTTCTTACAGATCACCCATTTTTTTAGTAAAAAAAAAAATAAAGTTTGGTTGAATTTGACTTCGATCATCATCACAGGTCAAAACCTGTCTTCAGAACTATAAGTCGCTTACAGAAGTTCTTACAGATCACCCAACAACAGAGATCTCACAATGTAAATCTACTTATAGGTTCTTAGTTCGACGATCTTAAGCTTTCCTTTGCCATAATAAAGCATGAACTACATTTAAACTGCACTCCTTACACTGGGCACAAGTTGCAGTAAATGAATTATGATTGAATATGAATTTAGCATTTCAGGCTTTTAGCAACCACAAATGCTATTCTGGAAAGTTGCCAAAACTAAAGTTTAAGCACAAAAAACTGCTTGAACACTTCACGAAACGGCCCAAATTGGGCTTTTAATTTTTTTTTTTTTTTGTCCAATTACTTGAGTAAGCTCCACGAAATCCTGGACTAGAAACTCTTGTTCTACTTGACATCCTTATTGAATTGTCTAAGCTTCTTGAAGCCATTTGCCTAACATTCGCTGGTCTCAGACAAACAGACGTATGGTCTTGATTTGTGCCCATTCGGCTGCACCAAAATCCTGTTGAAACTCTAGACTAAGAGGAAAATTCCAAAGAAAAAAAAAATGAAAACAGAAGACTTTAGGAGTTATGAAATTGGCATTAGTCTCCTTGGGTGTGGAATTTGAAATCATCATCAATACTAACATGTTGATATTGACTACCCCATAACAGAAAGTTATCGCGAAAATAATTAGATGCTAATACCAAACGTTTTAATCTCTAACCATCATTTCTTATGTTAAACATAGGTTTTAGCGTAGCTAATCAATATATGTACAATTGCTAATTTTTTCCACTAATTAAGTCAAAAGATAATTGTTTTGAACGGTGTTTTCGCGAAAATTCCAATAAAATATTTTGTTAATAAACACATTTGATATTTTCAGAGATGTTAGATAGTGATTCCTGAAAACAGTGAGGTTGAAAAAACAATTCAACCAAACAGATAAGCCATGTCTGTTTCTTTTTTCTATCTTAGAGAAAATCCACGAATTGGACACTAAAGAAAAGAAATTGTAACATTGATATATAGAACAGTCAAGTTCACATCACCAGAAGAATAAAAAATGGGGGATGAGATTATGCAGAAGGATTATGGACGGATAAGCATCTTTGAATCATTCCTAGAATACAAGAAAGGGCCATCAACATCTCTGAAATTTCTCATGTAGAAAATTTGTTAAGAAGATTAACATGTACACGCAAAATGATAGCAGACAATCGCCCTATATAAACCCCCTACCTGTGGCATCTTGAAACCACAACCAGCTACCAGTTCACTTTGAAAGTTTGAAACACCATGAAGTCCACCTACACTTTGTCCCTTTTGGCTTTATGCCTAACTTTATACTTAACCTTCACCAATGCTGCAAATTTCAACATTGTAAACCAATGTACCTACACAGTTTGGGCAGCTGCTTCCCCAGGCGGTGGCAGGAGGCTCGACCGAGGCCAATCATGGTCCCTAAACGTGGCTCCTGGCACCACCCAAGCTCGCATTTGGGGCCGAACCAATTGCAACTTTGATGCCAATGGCCAAGGCCACTGTCAAACAGGTGACTGCAACGGGCGCCTCGAGTGCCAAGGCTATGGAAGTCCACCGAATACGCTAGCTGAGTTCGCCCTAAACCAGCCTAACAACTTAGACTACATCGACATTTCCAACGTTGATGGATTTAACATCCCATTGGAGTTCAGCTCCGTTACCAATTGCCGTGACATCAGATGTTCAGCTCCTATTGTTGATCAATGCCCAGCTCAGCTAAGAACTCCAGGTGGATGCAACAATCCCTGCACTGTTTTTCACACAAATGAGTACTGTTGCACCGATGGCCCAGGAAGCTGTCACCCGACCGACTTCTCCAGGTTCTTCAAGGACAGGTGCCCTGATGCTTATAGCTATCCTCAAGATGATCCCACAAGCTTGTTTACTTGCCCAAGTGGTACAAATTATAGGGTTGTCTTCTGCCCTTAAAGAAATCCAGATATTTAAGAAAAGTAGATTATGAAGAAATAAACGCATATGAGACCCTTCTTGTAATGGTTCACTGAAATTGGAATAAATTTGAGCACATATAGCATTGTGCGGTTTGTCTTCGTTATCAGCTTTTTGGCTCTTTAAACTACTTATGAACTACATCACTGCTTACTAAATTAATCTGTAAGATGGATTTACACATCCCTTGCTCTGACCCCTTCTTGCATTTCTTCAATTTCAAAATTGAGTTACCATGTTAATTAGAAAACACAGTGTACATGGATTTGAGTGGTTTTATTATCCATTACGATTTGTAATAAAAGATCCTGGAGAAAAAACAAAATAACATCAACGCAGACAAAAAAAGTTATACAATAAAATTTTTTAAAAAAAGTAAAAAGTTCTTTTACCCCATCTAACTTAGCCATATAAGAAAAGAAGCTACAAAGTTCAGGAGCAGCCAAGAATACATCCACTTTGCAAACAATTGATTCGTTTCCTTTTCTTCCACCTTTCATACTCCTTTCTGTTTTCCTTTCTCTTTTCTTCAAGTATCATCCATGAATCAGTTCCAGCAATTTGAGGTAACAATAAAATCTAGGCTGTTCGGTGTCATGGTTCAATGGATCTGATACCACATCTTGGACGGGTACAAGCTTTGCCCGTCCTCCATACTACTCTGGCAAAGTTTCTTCGCCTATGTCCTGGATAAAACCCCTCCTTTCCTCTTCGTTAATCACGATCTTAATCTGTGTCTATCATTTAAAAGTTGCTAGTTAAGTTCGATTTTAGAAAACACATGTATTTCAGAAAAAAACATGTTTACTCGAAATTTTTGGATTTGGAAATCTAAACGCAATTATATGCTACTTTCTGTACCCATAATCAATGAATAGATATTGAGCGATGCTGTTATATGTTTCTGCAATCAGACAAATATGAGCCACAAATGGCTCAAATTAAGTGAGATCTTAGAATCTTTGAATTCATAGAAACAAACACCGGATCTTCAATAACTGCTCTTCTGGTTGATCACATAAAGAGGCTAACTATCTGCGTTCTGTAATCGATTAAGCAATAGTACGAATGGTTTTTTTTCAACTTATTGGGATCATGATGTGACTGGAAAGTTTTATTTCTGTTGAAAATTGAATTAATTAGCTTCATACTCCTGCAGAACAATAATCTTCCAGTGGGAAAACAAGATGGGAAGAAATGGAAAGAAAAGATCACTTTCTGTCGACTTCTACAATCAATAAAAAGCTCCATTAATTGAAAAAAAAAGAAGAAGAAGAAGATGGATCTTGTATTGGTTCGTTGTCTTTAAGTATTTCTGCACAATATTGTCTTGTTTTGACAAGTGATAGTCGCACATAGAGGGCAGTCTCTTGCAAGCCTTTCAAAGCAAGATACAAGAAAACAGATATGCTCGAACAGAGAACTTAAATTGCATTTGTTTACTTTGACAAGTTTAATGGCTTCATCCTACGTATGGATGGAAGCAGTACTTTAGTTATCATCTGCCTGCTAATTTTAAGAAAGATCTTTCATATGTTTAAATTTGCAGAAATGGTTGCATATCAGAAATACCTTCTCAAGAGTTGCTTTCTCAAGGAAGTATGAAACCATCCTCCATACACTCACAAAGAACCAGGGTAGATGTACAATATAACACTTGGCTAAGCACTCAGGGTAGCAAGCCAACACAAATAAGAGATTCGAATGTAATATCGTAACGAGAAAGAATTGCACAACACCAAGGTGAATAGTCATTGTGTCACGGTAAAACAGAACAAGAATCTTTCTTGAATTTGAATGTAGAAAGATCTGATCATTGTCCTTTTCCATGGATCCGAATTCTATCTGACCTTAAGTTTAAAGATCTCAGCCGATAACCTTAATGATCCATGGTTTGACACGAAAACCATTTGCCAATAATGGTCCTAGAATTACACTTAAATTAGGGATATGAAGAACCTCACTTGTAAAATTTAATGGCAGCAAAGTAATACTTTTTGAACAGCATAGAAGTCTACTCGGAGAAACTCAAATTCAACGGATGTTTCTGCATGCTGATTGAATTTTCTAAGCTTCATGAAGTCATTTGCCTAACTCTTGACTGGGATCAGACTAGAGAAGGAAGACAAACAGGTGTATGGTCTTGATTTATGCCCATTCTGCAACTCCAAAATCTGGTTGAAATTCTAGACTAAGAGCAAGAATATTAAAAAAAAAAAAAAAAGTTACGATATTATCATTAGTCTCCCCAGTTGTGTGATTTTGAAATGATCGTCACTACCAAAATGTTGAGATTGACTAGCGCATAACAGAAAGTTATCGCTAAAATAATTAGAAGCTAATATCAAATGTTTTAATCCCAGATCATCATTTATTATTTTGAACATAGATTTCATTATGGCTAATCAATTTTTGTATAATTGCTAGTTCTTTCCACTGATTAGGTCATAAGATAATTGTTTTCCACAGTGTTTTTAGGAGAATTGTAATATAATATTTTGTTAATATTAAGAAATGTTAGAAAGTGATTCCTGAAAACAGTGTGGTTGAAAAACACTCCACCCAAACGGATAATTCATGTCTGTTTCTTTTTCTATCTTAGACAGAGGTAATATTGGACACTAGAGGAAAGACATGTAAGGTTGATCTTTAAAACGGTCAAGTCTGACATCACCCGAACAATAAAAAAAGGGGTAAAATACACTTTGGGCTCCTGTGATTTAGCATTTTTCACATAATCTCCTCCCGGTTTCAAAAGTTATACATAACTCTCTTATAATTTGGATTAAAGTGTCAAAGTGAAGAAATTTGCATTTTATAATGGAATCAACTAAAATGTCAAAAGTACCCCTATATAAAATTAAATATTATTTATTTATCACAAGGGATTATGTATATATTTTAAAAATCATAATAGAGTTATATAGTAAAATACTAAACCATAAAGGAGTTACACGCTGAAACATAAAATCATTTGTCATTAGACTGTGATACATGTTATGTTATATATTTTGTCACTTCACCCATTTTAGTTTTTAAACAAAGGTAATTTAGACATTTTTATGGATTCTATTATAAATGATCATTTTTATTATTTTAACACTTTAATTCAAATTATGAGGGATTATATATAGTTTTTAAAACTATAGGTGGGTCATATGAAAAATTACTAAGCCACATGGTGATAAAGTGTATTTTGCCAAATAAAAAATGAGGGATGAGAGCTGACTGAAATCATGCAAAAGGATAACGGCTAGATCAGCATCTTTGAATCATTCCTAGCTAGTATACAAGATGACCATCAAAATCTCTGAAATTTCTTACGTAGAAAATTGGTGAAGAAGATTAAGGTGTACACGCAAGTTAATAGCAGCCAATCACCCTACGTAAACCCCTAGCTGTGGCACCTTGAAAACACAATAGCTACTAGTTCACTTGGAAAGTTAGAAACACCATGAAGTTCAGCCACACCTTGTCCCTTTTGGTTTCGTGCTTCATTTTATACTTAACCTTCACCAATGCTGCAAATTTCAACATTATAAACCAATGTACCTACACAGTTTGGGCAGCTGCTTCCCCAGGGGGTGGCAGGAGGCTCGACCGAGGCCAATCATGGTCCCTAGATGTGGCTCCTGGCACCACCAACGCTCGGATTTGGGGCCGAACAAATTGCAACTTTGATGCCAATGGCCAAGGCCGGTGTCAGACAGGTGACTGCAACGGGCGCCTCGAATGCCAAGGCTATGGAAAGCCTCCGAATACACTAGCTGAATTCTATGTTTTCAGAACCGGACCGGATAGCGACTCGGCCGAGGTCAGGGGTCAGGGATCAATGGGTTCGACCGGAGGTCGATAGGGGTCGAACCGGATGACGTCATAAATAAAAATTATTTAAAAATTAAAATATTATATATATAATATCTAATAATATATTGATATTAATAAAGGTATATCTATATATATTTGATGTTTCAAATATATTTAACAAGAAAATACAAAGAAATTAGAACAATCAAGTAGCAATTTATATTATTTAATAAATATTAACAAGTTTAGAATTAAAATTATGAATTTAATTGAAAAATAACATCAAATTTTAGGACAATATTTATAAAGTATCAAATATTTGAGGTATATCAATAAGTTTTAACAATTTAGGGGGTCAAAACATAATATTAAAAAGTTTAACTTTTTTTAAAATAAATTACTGTTAAACCGGAAAAATCGGTTTTTTTCCGGTCAAACCCGATTTTTGACCGGCTTTGACCGGATTTTAAATTTCCGGTTTTTTAATGTGACTCGGATCGGCTACCTGGCCGGTTCCCGGTTCGACCGGCCGGTCCGGTCCGAGTTTGAAAACAGAGGCTGAATTCGCCCTAAACCAGCCTAACAACTTAGACTACTTCGACATTTCCCTCCTTTATGGTTTCAACATCCCATTGGAGTTCAGCTCCGTTACTCCTTGCCATGATATAAGATGTTCAGCACCTATTGTCGATCAATGCCCAACTCAGCTAAGAACTCCTGGTGGGTGCAACAATCCCTGCACTGTTTTTAACACAACTGAGTACTGTTGCACCGGTGGCCCTAGCTGTGGCCCGACCTTCTTCTCCACGTTCTGCAAGGGCAGGTGCCCTGATGCTTATTGCGATCCTCGAGATGATCCTACAAGCTTGTTTACTTGCCCAAGTGGAACAAATTATAGGGTTGTTTTCTGCCCTTAAAGAAATCCAGATATTTTCAGGTTCTTGTGACAGCTTATATGCTCCAAGAACTTCACTAGAAAAGTAGATTATGAAGAAATAAACGCATATGTGATCCTTCTTGTGATGATCCACAGTAATTGCAACAAATTTGAGCACCTATAGCTTAGTGCGATTTGTCTTCTTTAAGCAAATAGTACATAATTTAAAGTAATTTTATTTAGTCATTAATCTCTAGTTGCATTTCGAATTAAGTTACCATCTTAAGTGGAAAATACAATATCTACATGGATTTGAGTGGTTTTATTATTCATTACCTACCGTCCACTTTTTTCCTACTGCTGGAAAAATGAAATAAATTTTCCTTGTTCAATAGTATAATATTGGAATTGATAAGAATTAGAAAAGTATTCCTATTTCTTGTCAAAGAAATTGAGAAATCAAAGCCAGAACTTGGGGGCTTTGATGTCCTTCTAATTCATTCTTTTCCATTCAATCGGTACTAGCTTAATTATCTTTATTAAGTCTGCTGAAAGGGATTGAACCAACAAATTTGAATAATTTCAGTTTACAAAATATTTAAAATTCAAGATATGGCTATGGTTATCAGCCTATCACGGCCCAATTAAGAGCCCACCGAAAACACTTGAATCGTGAGGACTAACAGACGACTTGATGTAGTTTGGTAGTTGGGCTCCCCTGCTTTTATGTCTAGAGCGCTGTCCATTAGTGAATTCCTAGTATTTCCACCGATTCACAGAATTTAATTTACAAAAATGAATTTAAATATATCTAAAAATTAAACATTTTTGAATTCAAATTCCTTGCCCCCTCCCAATTTCATAAGATATATATATCATTCTACCGAGAAACGATTTCAGAAAATTACAACAAACAATATATTGCAAGTTTTCTCAATTGCATACCAATTGTGACTAGCTTATGAAGTGATAAATAAATCATTTTTGTTCATCTTTTCCTTTTGGCTGATTCTCCCATTGACAATCACCTTTGTTCTCTCAAGAAAAATGATGAAAGAAAGAAATGAACTTCACCCTTCCAAATAGTGAATAAATTGAATATAAATAAAAAGATAAATAAATATCTTAACACTGAAACAAAATGCTAGTTAAGATGTTTCAAAATTTTTGGCATCAGCCAATGATAATGATATCTTCATAATGTGCCTTTTCTCTTACTATATATATATAAAAAAAAAGGTTATGATATAGGTTATTGATTGGACTCTTGAATCTTTATGAATTACCAGATGTTTTCGAGATATTTTTCAGAAATTATATTGTAACATTGTATATGAAAAATTTTCACCATATATATACATATATATTAAAAATATCTTTAAATTTAAAATTTTGTTAAGATAGTTTAAAAATTTTTCGACATTCCCTCCCCCCCCACTACCACCACAATCACCACCGCACCTCCTTCCCATCCACAATTGCACCAATCATACTCCAATTCAGGTTGTACCTTCCCTCATTCGTGTTTTCCTCGTGTCTGCAGCTCAGAGACACTGGCTGGCCAGACCGGAAAAAGCAGCTCTCGATTACTTGAACTAATAATTCAGGTTGCCGGCTTTTGAGGATTGTTCGGGGATTCAGGTTTATTTACGAAATTCTTGTGACTTCATAAGAAGATGAAAGAAAATTACTTGAACTAATGAAACAAGGAACACGGTAAAGTTGGTCCAAAGTTCATGGTCGTCTGGCATAGACTAAAAGATGTTTGATTTGATTTCATTTGACTGAAAGAGGAATCAAGGACAATTGCGCATGAAATATCTACAGATATTTAAATATGATTCTATGAACAGCCCAATTGTTATACACTTCTACAGTCATTTATATAGATGTATTTCATAATGATAAGGATACAGCAACTTTTTTTTATGGCATCTAGTTTGTCATGAATTACTAGTAGTAAAAATCCACAAGCAAATAAATTACAACAAGAATAAAATTATAAGCAGAAGAATACTAAAAATATTAATATAAGCATACAATTCGTAATACTAATAAGAATGGGAAGGAAATAGTGATACGAGAGAACGAAAAAACATAAAAAAAGAAAAGAAAAGAAAGAAAGAGAATGAGTAGGGGGAAGGATAAGTGCCTATTAAAAAAATTTTAGGGGATAAAGTGCAATTAGGGTCAAAGTTTGGGGCACAATCCACTTACTTGTTATGAAATACTGAAACACTATATGAAACATTGTTATAATGTAGACTTTCTGATCATTATTACTTATAATAACAAAAAATAAAAAAAGGAAGCAGTTAAAGAATAAGTTCAAAAAAATAAAAATAATATATAGATAATAATAACAAAGAGAAGAAAATAGTTGGTCACATGAAAATGGGAGAAAATTAGGAAAAACACGAAAAAAAGGAGAAAAAGAAATAAAAGTTAACATTGAAGAGGCACTTTTGTTCTAAAATATAAAGCGGTGGCAAAATATCTACATATTGAGTTCAAGGGTAAAGCGTAACTAGGGACAAAATATCTATATATTGAGTTTAAGCGTATACAAAGTTTACCGAGTTTTAGTTCATTTACACCTTATCATTATTCTGCCTAAATGTGAAATTTGAAATGATCTTTTTTTTTTTTTAATTTTATCGAGATCTCTCACTTATCCTCTCTTCCTCCGAGCCACCCATCTCCTCTCCCGAGAAAAATTTGAAATGATCTGTAATACTCAAATGTTGACAACGACGGCCTCATAACAGATATCGGTAAATATAAGCTAATATTTTTTTTTCATAAAAACGTTATGAAGTATGTCATTCAACCAAACAATCAGAGAGAAAGTACAGCTGAGGAAACGATAGGAGGTGGATATTTCCGCCAATTCTCTGAATCATCAACAAAATTTAGCATGTCTAGCCAACTTATGTGCCACGCTATTACAAGATCCTGGAACTACCCAAAGTGCAAAGAAAGGCACTACTGATGCTTTGCAAACTGGATATCATTTGCCAAGGACCCCGTTTAGAAAGATCTTCATTCTCCTCATTTAGAAGCCTGATCGTATTCGAAGAGCCACTTTCAAAAATGGATCTTCTCCATCCTTCCTTCCACATGGTTCCATCGATTCCTTAGCTGCCATAATCTCAACTACAGCCAACTGTTTTAATTCCGATCATCATTTTTTTTTATTTTGAACATACATTTCGGTGTGGCTAATAAATATCCATATATTGCTAATTCTTTCCACTAATTAGGTGATAAGATAATTGTTTTGAATGATGTTTGTAGGAAAATTGCAATATAACATTTTATTAATAACCACTTTTTGTGATATTTAGAAAGTAGGAATAATGTGGTTAACAAACACTTCATCCAAACAGAAAATTCAAGTCATTTTATTTTCGATAAATTACTTATTACCCCCTTGTAGTTTTGCATAATATCAAATGAGCCCCCTAAGATTTTAAAATAATCACATAACCCCTATAATTTTATGTAAAGTGGAAAACGGACATAATGTATAACAAGTTATGGAGCTTATACCAAATGCACTTTAAAAATGTGTGTGATAAAATTTTAACATCCTTGTAATCCCCTTATGATTTGTATAAATATCCACTTTATCCCTATAATTTTTGCATTTATCCGTGCAATCTCTCTATACTTTTATATGAGGTGGTTAAACCGTCGATTGATTTAACATTTAAGTAAGGGCACTATTGATATGTCAACTAACGATGTTACATAGACTATTTTTCGTCAAATTTTCACTTTACATAAAACCATAAGAGAGTGAAGTGGACATTTTGAAACGTTAGGGGGATCATGTGACAATAGATGAAACTAAGGGGAGTTATATATAATTTACCCTTTTATTTTTTATGTCTTCGGTAGAGGTAATCCACGAATTGAACACTTGAGGAAAAGCATTGGAACGTTGATTGAAAGAAGAGTCAAGTTCAAATGACTAGATAAATAGAACAATGAGGGATGACACTTGACTGAAATTATGTGGAAGGACTATGGACACATCCGCATCTTCTTCAATCATTCCTAGGATACAAAGACAAGACCATCAACATCTCGGAAATTTCTGATGCAAAAATTTGTTCGGAGATCAACTTGTACACGCAAAATCGTAGCAGCCAATCACCCTATATAAACCCCTAGCTGTGGCATCTTGAAACCGCAGCAGCTACTAGTTCAATTGGAAAGTTAGAAACACCATGAAGTTCACCTACACTTTGTCCCTTTTGGTTTTGTGCCTAACTTCATGCTTAACCTTAACCCATGCTGCAAATGTCAACATTATAAACCAATGTAGCTACCCAGTCTGGGCAGCTGCCTCCGCAGGTGGTGGCAGGCGACTCGACAAAGGCCAATCATGGCCCCTAGATGTGGCTCCTGGCACCGCTAACGCTCGCATTTGGGGCCGAACCAGTTGCAAATTTGATGCCAATGGCCAAGGCCAATGTCAAACAGGTGATTGCAGTGGGCGCCTTGAATGCCAAGGCTATGGAAAGCCTCCGAATACAGTAGCTGAATTCGCCCTAAACCAACTTAATAACCAGGACGTCATCGACATTAAACTCGTTGAAGGATTCAACATCCCGTTGGCGATCAGCTCCGCTACTTCTTCTTGCCGTGATATCAGATGTTCAGCACCTATTGTTGATCAATGCCCAACTCAGCTAAGAAGTAAGAACTCGAGGTGGATGCAACAATCCCTGCACTGTTTTTAAAACAAATAAGTACTGTTGAGCCAACGGCCCTCAAAACTGTGGCCCGACAAACTTCTCCAAGTTCTTTAAGGACAAGTGCCCTGATGCTTCCAGCTATCCTGGAGATGCTGCAAGTTTTGTTACTTGCCCAAGTGGTACAAATTATAGGTTTGTTTTCTGCCCTTAAATAAATCCAAGGTTCTTGTGACTGCTTCTATGCCCCAAGAACTTCACTAGAAATCTTAGGCCTTGTTTGTATCGCGGCTTTTCATCGGAAAATTACGTTGTTTTTCGTGATCACATTTCCCTATTACCTTTTTTCCTCACATACATCAAATCGCTACAGTAATTTTTCCATGAAAAATCACGGAAAATGCAATCCAAACACAACCTTAGATTATGAAGAAATAAGTGCACATGTGACCCTTCTTGTGATGGTTCGGTGGATTTGGAATAAATTCGAGCACATATAGCATGGTGCGATTTGTCTTCTTCATCAGCTTTTTGGCTTTTTAAACTACTTATGAACTAGATCACCATTGCAAAACCAATGAAGTTTTACTAAATTATTCTGTAAAAAGGATTTACATAATGCTTGATCTGAACCCTTAATTCTCTAGTTGGAGGTTAGATTGTCAAAATATTTTGTCCCTCGCACTTCAAAAGATTGAGTCATGCTTAGGTTTATCTTAAATAGGGAAATTCCTTTATTTTTATTTTTGAATTTACATAGATCTCTCCAATGAAATGCTAAGATGTTACATAAATCAGATAATTTTTTTAATGTTTGTTAAAGAATCATACTTTATATAAATAAATATTACCACTAAATCAAGAGTAAGAGAAGTTTGTCTTACAAACATTGAAGAAATGGGAGGTTGGTGTACATTCTAAACAAAGATGGGGATTTCTATATTATGGTAAACCATAAAACAATTGAAAATGGTCATCTCATGAAACAACAAAAGATGGTGATATGATTTTTCTTTGGGTAAATTACGCATAACATCGTGTGGAAACATTTCCAAATATCCACATAATCTCCATGTGGTTTCATATAAAGTGAAAATTTGACGAAAAATAGCCTCCATAACATCGTTAATTAAAATGCTAGTATTGCCCTTATTAATGTACTAAATCATGACCATCTTGCGTGAAAGTATAAGGGAAATATGTGGATAAACGCAAAAATTACAGAAGAATAAGGTAAATTTTCATGCAAATCATAAGGGAATTAAGTGAATATTATGATCCCATCACACACATTTTTAGAGCGCGTCTCGTTAATTTCCCTGGTCTTTCCCTGGTCGTTGGTACTTTCCATCCATTTTCCACCTCATATAAAACCACAAATGTGGCTATTTTGAAATCTTAGCAGAGTCATATGGTGATATGAAGAACTGCAGAGGATCATATGTAATTTACGCTTTGCCTTTTTGGGGAAGGGAAAATATAGATGATTGTATTGATGCACAACTCTGTTCCGTAATCACTCAACCTGGAACTAAGCAAATACAGGATTTAAATAACTTATTTAGTCATTAATTAATCTCTAGTTGCATCTCGAATTAAGTTACCAAATTTGGGAACACAATAAAAGACCATAGGAGTGGTTTCATGATTAGTACTATTCGTAATAAAAGATACTACAAATTAAGTCCAGGAGCAGTCAGAATACATCCACTTTGAAAACAATTTATTCCTTTCCTACTGCTTTCCTTTTCCTTTCTCTTTCCTTCAAGTATCATCCATGAATCAGTTGCAGTAATTTGATGTAACACCAAAATCTAGACTGTTTGGTCTAATGGTTCAATGGAGCTAACACCACATCTTGGATGGGTACAAGCTTTGCCCGCCCTCCATACACTTCTGGCAAAGTTTCTTCGCCTATGTCCTGGATAAACTCCCTCCTTTGCGCTTCGTTAGTCACGATCCTAATCTGTGTTCATCATTTAAAATCAGCTAGTTAAGTTCGATTTTAGAAAACAAATGTAGCTAAACACACTTATATGCTACTTTTTGTAACCATCATCGGTGAATTCTCCTGATAACAAGTTTCAATATAAGAGATAGCTATTAAAAGATGTCATATGTTTCTGCAATCAGACAAAAGAGAGAAAAATAAGCCTCAAACAGCTGAGATTAAGAGAGATCCTAGAATCTGTTAACAATGGCAATGCTGATACTATTTGAATTCAGAGAAACGAACGTGGAAATTTCATAAACTGCTCTTGCAGTTGATCACATAAAGAGGCAAACTGTCTGTAATAGATTAAGAAATAATAAGAATGGTAGTTTGACAACTTAGTGGCGCATGATGTGACTGGAAAACTTTTATTTATGTTGAAGATTGAATTAATTAGCTTTATACTCCTGCAGAACAATAATCAACCAGTCCGAAAACAAGAAAAAGGAGGGGGAAAAAAGAAGAGAAAATATTATCTGTGGACTTCAAAACTGAATCATCACTAAAAAGATGGATCTTGTATTAGTATTTCTGCGCATTATTGTCTTGTTTTGACGATTGATAGTTGCGCACATGAGGGTAATCTCTAGCAAGATTTTTAAAGCAAGATTCAAGAAAGTACATATGCTCAAACAGAGAACTTAAATTGCATTTGTTTATTTTTACTAGGTTTGGTGGCTTCATCCTATGTATGGATGCTGGCAGGACTTTAGTTATTATCTGCCTGCTAATTTTAAGATAAATATACAGGAATGTTTGCACATCAAACATACCTTCTCAAGAGTTGCTTTCTCAAGGAAGTATGAAACCATCTTCCATACACTCACGAAGAACCGGGGCATATGTACAATGTAACATCTGGCTAAGCGCTCAGGGTAGTAAGCCTACACATATAAGAGATTTCAATGTAATTTCATAACAAGAAAGAATTGCACAATGCCAAAGTGAATGAGTTGGAGAAGCAAATATGTTACAGTAAATCAGAACAAGAATCTTTCTTGAGGAAATTGAATGTAGACAGATCTGAGGATTGTCCTTTTCCAGGGATTCAAATTACATCTGACCTTAGGTTTAAAGATCTTAGCCAATAACCTAAACGATCCATGGACTGACATGATGCTATTACAGTGAAGCAGAACAATAATCTGTCTTAACAAGCTTGAGTGTAGACAGATCTGATGATTGTCCTTCTCCTTGAATATCAAATTCTATTTGACATTAGGTTTGTAGATCTTAGCCCATGACCTATTCATGGTAGATGATCATTTGGAACCAGGCTTTAACATGTTCTATTCATGATGATAAGACTCACGCAGAGATCAATCATTAGTTTGTAACTGAGTTGAGAATAAGGGGAAGGAGTAGCCTTAAAACCATCTGCCAATAATGAGGTCCTTGAAATACACATAAATAAGGAAAATGAAAAATCCCTTCATCTGAATCTTAAATAAGGTTAATTATTGCTAAAAATTGTTAGAAAGCTAAATGGCAAAAGCCGCTGGAGCAGCAAGAAGAACGTTTATTATCTTATACTAGGCGTTAATGAATGTCTTCCTTTATGCCATCATGATCACTCTGGGTGCCATACCAATTGCATCCTCTTATGAACTGTAAATGCATATCAACTTCTTGATACCTGTTTCATTTGAGGGCACATATTATTTACATACACATATTGATGGGATCCATTACCCATGTCCGCAAAACAGAACAGATGCATACATTCTCTTTAGCTACAGACCAGTCACCATATTTATATGATGCCCCTCCATAAATAATCTAAATGGTTTTCTAATATAAGACAATCAAAGTGGTTTACCTGTAGGAATTGGAAACCAGTGATTAAAGCACGAGCATCTACATTCTTGTATGAGATATCCTTTAAGTCAAGAATACCTACTAGCTTTTCATCACCGATCTCTCTTCCTTTGAAGGAACTGAAATGAAAATTATGAATTCAAATCAGAATACCACAATCCATTATTCCTACAAGACTTTATATTAAAGATAAAATAAAATAACAGATTGCTTTCATTGTTAGTCTTTTGTTTCCAAGGGGAGGGGAGGGGAGGGACAGTGGGGATAAAAAGGATCATCATTACCCACTACTGTACCCAAACTCCCCCAATAAATGGGTAATGGCCTATTTCACAGCAGACCTGTCTCTGTTGATGACAATACCTGATCACTAATAACGCTAATGTGAAAGAGTCCTACCGATACCATTAATAATTTAAGGCTAATAATGAACTAATCTAAGTTATACCTTGCAATGGTTTTGTCAAGTATATGAACAATGAATTCTGCAGCAACAGGCAGAAGTTTGAATTAGTTACAGACTTAACATAGCAACTTATGCGAAACAACTTGAAAGGAGATCTTGATAGAAAGAGAACCATGTTAAAAATCCACAAAAAAAGATAGCACTACTTGCTTTCCAAATATAAAGCCTTTTCATTTTCATATACGAAAAAAATAAAAGGACAATTATCTAGTGTCCCTTCTAGTCATGGTTTCACAAACAAGTCACTCAAATAGCCCTGGCAAGTTATCTTCATGCTTAATGAATTTGACCAATCTTGTTAGTCCATGGTCCCTTTCTGCACTTTCTTCAATTAGAAGACTGTATTTGCAAGCACACTTCAACTTTGGATAACTGAAGTTACACGTAAAAGGAGATTGACCAAATCAAAAGTAAGAAATGACGATCAAGAAAATTCAACCAAAGATTCCCAGTATATCAAATGAAGAAATTAGCAGATTGATCCTCTGAAACGCAATCAAAGCACTCATGATGGACCACTAATATCAGAGGAATTATAATTTTTCAATCAACACCTGATGAAAAATCAAACCAATTGGTTGTACCAATCAATTAATTCCTAGAATTATTAATTAAATTTCAGAAGCTTCCTTCAATCTTCTTCTTTTTTTTTTCATTTTTTAAGTTTATATATTGTCCAAAAGTTGACTAGCAAGTAGCAGCCCACAAGCCCCCCCAACGCTGTCCATTTATGATCTGTCCCTCAACTAAGCTCCCAACAGAATCAACCACAGATTAGTAGGTCATTTCTTCCTCTCAATAGTAAGATCATTGACCTTTAAAGAAATATCTTATTCAAGTTCCTTCTGGCACAGAATACCTTCCTAATAAAATAATAATACATAATCAAAGCTTGATCTTCAGTATCATAAGAAATTTGATTGCGACCATTACAAGATATTCCAAAAGACTCAAGGATATAATTAAAACAGGCAGAAACTTTTAAATTAGGATTGCCAACTAACTTTTAAATTAGTATGGTCAAGTTTTAATATCGACTTGGGCCCTAATTGACAAGTATTAAACTTGAAATTTAAAGCATATTCAATAGATCGTCCTGCTCAACTCCATGAAAGTTCATTGGGAGTTCGGCTGGAATATTGACCAAGGGGTTAATTTGAAAAACTCAAAACACAATTTTAAGCTCGTTAAAATAGTTAATTGTCAAAATTTCATGGAATGCACCATGAACAGGACTAAAACAAGGTATGAAGGCATGTTTATAGCATTCAAGTACGATCCTAGTTGGAAATAATCCACATAAATAGCAGGATGATAGAAAGTCATACACGAAGAACGAAAGTTAAAACAAGAAATGGATAATTACTCTTGAATTGAGGCTGATCCTTGGATGGAAAATGCTTGCTGCCTTTTACAACCATAATTGGGAACCCCTTTTTAGACAAGCCCTGTAAGTAAATTTTCTTAGCTCCAAGTTCATCTTGAATTTCAGAATCAGGTATAAATCCTGACGGGACCAGTGCATCCCTCCATTTCTGCCACTGCACAAACATTTTTGCAGCTTTATCTGTATCCATTGATCTTGCAATCAAGAACCTCATCAGTGTGGGGTCCCCATAATTCTGGAGCCAATAAAGATGCATAAAATCAAACACCTGAACTTCACCATGAATTCCAAAAGCAGAAATCTTGCACAAAAGGGATAGAGCTAAAAAGGGCAACTGAGAAAATTTATTACCTCAGCAAAACCACCAAGCTTTTCAACAGATTTCCTCATCTGGGATAGTGCCAGCTCCTGACTTTTCTCCATTTTCTGGCTTTTTGTGTCCAGCAAGTGGTGCTCTTGCTCTGCTTTTTTTCTGGCTTTTTGTGTCCCACAAGTGGTGAATGAATTGAAAAGAGTGTAGCTCTGATTTTCAAAGCCTACCTAAATAAAGGCAGAGTTCATTAAGAGAGATAGAATGTGAATTGGGAAGTTGACCTTAAGGGCATTAATTGCTGGTAACTGAATAATTCCTTTTCCTACAGAACAAGGGACTGAGGGATCTCAAGGCTTGATATTTGCCGTTAACTGAATAAGTATCCAACAGAACAGATGAGGGATGACAAGTCTGGCTTGATATTTGCTGTTAACTGAATAAGTCATCCAAAAGAACAAGGAAGTGAGGGACGACAAGTCTTGAGCAGTGTCAATTGCACAAGGCGACCGGAAAGTAGGCGAGATAAAATGTAGCGTAGCGATTCAATGTGCTGACTATTCTCAATTGCACGAGGGATGACAAATCTAGAGCAATGTCAATTGCACAAATTCATTTGGATTGCTATTTGTTAAAGTTTTTGTAGCAAAATGTATTGATTTGATATATATGAAATAAAAAGATGAGTAAAAAATATGCATATAAAAATTTTTCGAAATTTTTTTGAAAATAAATGGCTTCCCAAGCAAGGATACATAAATATTACTGTCAATAATATCTTGCCAAATGGCATGAGGCCAACCATCCAAGCCAAATTACGTCACACTGTCAAAGGGTGTGTGCCCCTCTCACATCTACAAATGCTTCTTTATTTGAGTATCAAAATGATTTTACTAAAAACACTTTATTCTCTCTCTCTCTCTCAATGTATATATAAATATATATATATATATATATATATATATATATATTTTAGAATATCAGCTCTCAAGAGTGTTAAAGAGTTCATGCACTAGCAATGCTCACAGTTCATCCGCTAATTATTTTTTGTTTACGAATTAATCTTATATGCATTAATAACGTGTACACTAACAGGCATAATCATCGACAGATATCACTCAATTATTCCTTTACTTTCAAGTGATATTCAACCTACTTTTGATACAATTTTACAATTGATGAGAGATCCTCAATTTGATTTGCATGATATATTTATACACAATTCTTGGGTATCTATACCCTGATGGGGACAGGGATATTAACATGTTCAGGTGTGTGGAGGAAGGAAATTTTGTGTTACATCATATATTCTTCTGATGGCATGTGTCTTCATGGGAGGGAAATGGACAAATAAGAAGTGGGAAGAAGCGATGGCTAATTATTAGCCAATCAGATGACATCATGTCGTAACGTGTAGGAATTCTTTCTTTTGTCGAAGGAGTAAACTATTATATAATTGAAATATATAATTACCATATTAGTCCTCTAATATTTGAGTGGATCAATTTGACTCTCCTTACTTTTGAAAGAATCAACACTTGACCCTCATGTTTTCAACTTTACCCTATGTGGTCTGTCCGATTCCGAGCACTGCAACACTATGGTAGCTAGTTCGCTATATTTGTGATTCTGGAGCAATCAAATTACTGAGGCTTAACCATTTTTGTAAGGATTAATCTTTTTTACACTGACAGTATATACACTATCACCATTGGATGAATGACAATTATGCAAAATTTATATTTGAAATTCAATTTTTGCACACATGCCATGAATCCAACGATAATAGTATATACACTGTCAGTTTAGAAAAGATTTACTCTTTTTTTTTAAAAACCCCTTTCGCTATTTTATTTCTTGTCCAATCTATTGAGAGGACAAAAGTTTGTAGCACTCTACGGCTTATATGACAACACAATTTAAAAATGACCTATCTCGTGATATTTAGGAGTTCTCGTTCTTATATCTATTATTCAATCATATTGTAATCTTAAATCGCTTTTTGTAGGTACATTTATGTACAAATTGTTATCCACGTTATAATACTCACTGAGAAGGTTCACAAGTTACTGAACATGAGGTAAATTAATGACAGGATGCCCTCTGTAAAATTACATACCTTGAGTAAATCATTATTCATATTTTAAAAAAAAAAACAAGATTTAAGTCAATCCTCGTAATGTTCAAAAACTCCTGCTAATCACAATCCTCTACGCCCATTATTGCAATCTGTTTGCTTGGTTAAAAAAGAATATCGAAACCGAAATTTGTCTCTTAAAAATTATTTGCATTCTTTCTTCTTCTTTTTTTTTTTTTGGTGTAAACTTCAATTGGTCACGACTCAAAAACTAGCAAAAGAAAGGATAATAAACAATTATTCTTTTTTTTTTAAATAAAATATTTGCTATAGAAGCAACTATTATGTTTGTCAAAAGGTCACCTCCAAACTCAAAAAGTAGGCCCAATGAAGTTGCAAAAGGTACTAAATTCCAATGGCAAGACTTCACCATCAAGTTCCCCGCAGGCAAGGGAGAAGAGGTACAAGTATAACGGAAGTTGTGGTTCTCATGGTGTTTGTATTTGTAACCAAGCTTTTCAAAGGTTCAAGATGAACGGCTTCCATTCTATTATTCATCTCAATCAACACAATTTTTACATTTATGTGAAACATATTTACAAATACTTTGTATAAATATGATTAACGTGAAATAAGACAATTGTAACTGATAATCGTTCTTGTCCCAAATAATTTTAAAGGCGAAGTCCGGTAATTGTATACCACTAAAGAATTAATAATAACCACAGGATTGGATGTCTTTTGAGTCATAGGGCTCGTTATTTTGAGTCCAGAAAGAGATTCAAATAAGGTAGAAATTATTAATTAATTTGTTTGTTAATATTTCAATAATGTGCCTCATTTCCACAATCAGTTTCACTATGCTCGACTATCTAATGGTTCAATGGAGTCAATACAACATCTTGCATGAGAACAGGCTTTGCTCGTCCACCATACTCTTCTGGCAAGGCTTCTTCCCCGATGTCCCTGATGACCTCCCTCCTTTCCTCTTCATTGGTTACAATTGTTATCTGCAAACGCTCTCAAATCAGCTAAAGATCAAATTGAAAAAAGAAAATCAATTTTAGATAGCAAATATGTGAATCGAGGATTTTTAATTCCTCAGACCTCAACCTTAGTCACTAAACTAAGACCTCCTCGATCCGGAAAAAGTAGCGTCTTCTATCGAACATGTTAAAAACTTAGACGTACCTTTTGAAGAGTAGCCTTCTCAAGGAAGTAAGAAACCATCTTCCAGACACTCACAAAGAACCGGGGCATATTTAAAATGTAAAGCTTGGCTAAGCGTTCAGGGTAGTAAGCCTATACAAGCAAAGAGTGTTAGATGGAATTAAGCCACAAACAAAAATCAAGAAGTTGGAAGGAAGTAAAGAATTCGATAAAAGTAATTCGTTGGCAGCTGCTAGCAGAAGTTATTTGGCAATCAAGATGGAAATGTATGAGCCTAAGGGAGAACAAATTTGCCCTGCGAATAATTTCCCCCTCATGGTCTCTAAGGGAGAAAAGGGCTACCAATAGACAACCTTTTGTGGTATAATATTGCCATCTTAGTAGTATCCTCTCATGACCTCTTTAGATGCATCATGCACAAATTTGAATCAACAGGATCCTTGCTTAGTTAACACACGGTGATTGCAAGCCAACATGTATGGACTGAGGAAACAAATGTGTGCATTTCTCTCTAATAACTTTACAATGGTTATAGTTGTATCTTTTCTTTAACACAAAAATTATCTATAATTGTAAGATTGCCCGGAAACATATGAAATAGTTAGTATTCGTGATTAGAACATGAATGAGACTTACCTGTAGGAATTGGAAACCGGTTATTAGACCGCGGGTATCTACGTTTTTGTATGAAATATCCTTTAGATCAAGAACAACGGCCAACTTCTCATTTCCAATTTCTCTGTCTCTGAAGGAACTGAAAGGAGCAAATGCTAATTGACATCACCGTATAAGATTATCATCTCGACTACTGTTGTAAAACAGCTCTAGATGGAGACTATGCTAATGTCTCCCAAAATGGAACAATTGGTAATGCACAACTAAAGATATAAGCATTAAAACAGTTTACACACACACACAAAACACACAGGAAAGCAAAACTTTCAGTCTACCTCCCAGCATTAGAGAAGGCAAGCCTTGAAAAGATAAAAGTATCAGAATGATTAGAGTTAAAAACAATTTTCGGTGTTAGGTCCCAGCATGCAATCTTGGAATTGAACTTCAGGAAGCTAGTTATTGAATGTTCATGTCAGGAAAAAGAAATTCTCAATCCCAAGTGCTTAAATCCACATCATATCCTAGGTTTTTCATTATGTAGTCGGGGAAAATTTTCCTTCTTTTTTCCTTTGTTTTGTATTTTTCAGCTATTATGCTAGCTGATCCTGCTGCAAAAGGGAAACCTAATCTCCTCAAGTTATTTGACAAAAAGATCTAAAACTGTGAGCAAACCACCTCTCTCCAAGATTCTCAATTTCAAAGCTTTCAAGATTTCGAGTCTCTCTTACTCTCTCACCAGCCCTCTGCACAGTGATATAAACTTCACATTACAGAACAAAATGTGGATTGTGTGATGACTATTTCCAGTCTTTATGTTTTTGTTTCCCATTCATGGTGGATGCTGCAATACAATGCGGCCAAAATTTTCGTATCAAAGATAATATAGCTCCAATTTTCTGTTTTTTGACTTCTAGTAAACTAGCCAGTTCACTAGAACAGAGGATGGCTCTTTAAGAACCTTGTCTAGAAGTATGCAGCATTGCTGTAAAGCAGTTCATTTGTAGTTTTTCTATTTGAAGACTGGTTATGGAATCAAGGATAAGTCGCAGCAAACAAAAAGGTTGGAATCTTGAAATATAGAAGATCCATCTTTTTGTACTCAACAAAAATGGTACCTTGCAATGGTCTTGTCCAGTAGATGAACCACAAATTCTGCATGAATGGGGAAAGGTTTGAATTAGGTAGGAACTCACATTAGACTAATAGTTGCTGCACAAGAAAGGAGAATGGAGTGGGAGAAAGATGCAAAACATAGACATGATTAGGCTACTTCCATTTCTATTTTGCAATGGTTGAAGGGAAATGATCTACTCTACATTTCATTTGGATTTACACAATCATCTTACACGGCACATCTAATCTAACATATCCTACTCCTACTCCTGGGGAGGGGGGAGCCTACTCAATAGGGTTGCCCAACTGAGCCGAAGGAACCTGACAAGGATTGAACCACCATCAAATCAGTCAGGTGCACCACACACTCGTAATAGAGACACATTGATGGGAGGTAAGGTTTGAACCATTGACCTCCCATCCCATAATCTTTTTGAGAAATTTTGTAAGTTTGTATTCTTCCTATGCACCATATTTAATGTAGCATACCTGTAATTTGTACTTGAAAGGTACCTGCCATTTCTGTCACTGGGTTTAGGTGTAAAAGGAGATTTGACCATATTTATTGAAACAAGACAAAGAAAAATCAACGGATTGACTAAATCAAAAAGAAAGAAAGAAAGAAAGAGGTATAATTAGTCAACAGCAGACATAAAAAACCACCAATATTTCAAAACAAGGAGAACTAAAAATGAAACCAGCAGGTTGACCATAATCAAGATTATGAATCAAAGACCACCATTCACTGTTGAACATTAACACTACGACTAATCTAAGATTATGAATCAGCATTTGATAAAAATTTCAACTTGTGAGACTAATTAACAAATGCATCAAATAAATTTGCGACACGAAAGAGTAGAAAGGAGACAAGGATCACATGTGCCAGCACAAAAAAGTATGCTTCTTAAGCCTTATGCGTTGAACTTTTTTGAGGTAACCATCATGTCTAACTACTAAATACAAGCCTGCAAGCTTTCCTAATAAACAAAATCAAACGTATAAAACGCAAAACACCCTCCCAATAAATTATTAGTACATAATCTTCAATGTCGATTTTGCACATAATCCAAGAAATTTTTTAAAAGCCCCAATGAATATTTAAAGAAGCACAAACAAATGAGCAATGAATGCCAACGAACTTGGAAGAATCATCTACTGCTTGAAAAGTATGAAGTCAACTATACGGAAAGATATTGCTGACTATTTTATACCACCAACATAATTGAACTATTTATTTATAACAAGTCACATCATGGCCTAATAACAAAGACAAAATGAGGCATAAGAGCATCACTACAGCAGTCTAACAAGAATATTACTAGAATTAAGAAAAGGAAAATTTCAAAAATCTCCCCTGATGTTTCTCATAATATCACTTGGTACCCCCTTAAGTTTTCAAAATCTCACTTACCTCCATTGGATTGACTTTTTTTTGTAACATGTTAGCCCCTTTGAAATAAATGCAAGAAAGATAAATTTTTTGTTCCAGTATTACCCTTATGTTATCCTACTTTTGAAGCTTACAACAACAATGAAAATATGAAAATATGAGCGGTTATAAATGCAATAACGAGTAATTTTGTAAATATACATCAATTATTACCTAGTACAAGAAATGATGTTTTAACAAAAATAAAAGGATATTTCTAGATATATATTTGGTCATTAGATAATTTTTTGAATAATTTTATTAATTCTGACTTATTTATAAATTTTTTTTTGTATAAGTAGGATTTATATTATAACCACAAGTATGAAGAAATTATTTTAATTTTCAGTACAACCTAAATTTTATCATGTGTTAAAATATACTTTTTACAAAATTTTATTGACTTCCTTATAACTATGCTACAAAATTTTTTAAGGTATTAATTACTTATCAAATCATTCTAAGCGGTTAAGTTTGACTAAATTTAATTTATCCACATCATTTACTGTTCCACCACCTCGATAAAGAGAAATATGAACCAATATTGAATAGTGATTCGGTTGTTTTATTATCTACATTTTTTATTTAAAAATTCACTTTTTATTTTGACTTTTTGGCTAAATAGTTATTAAGAATACAAGGGTAATGTCGTTAATTTGTGACCTTTAACAAGACATTTAGTCTTGTCAAGCTGATCGTGGAAATAAAAATGAGATTTTAAAATCGTCAGGGAGCTATGAGAAACCTCAGGGGTGGTTTCCAAAATTATCCCATTAAGAAATAGTCCACATGAACTAAATAACTAGTACCAAGAATCACAAAACGAAGGACAGAAATCTTAAAGACAAGATGAAAACACTTGAAAATTACTCTTGAATTGATGCTGATCCTTGGCTGGAAAATGCTTGTTGACTTTGATAAGCAGCACTGGGAACCCTTTTCTGGACAAGCCCTGTAAGTACAGCTTCTCAGCTCCAAGTTCATCCTGAACTTCAGAATCCGGAATAAATCCTAATGGGACAAATGTAGTCCTCCATTTCCGCCACTGCACAAGCATCTTTGCAGCTTTATCTGCATCCATTGATCTTGCAATCAAGAACCTCATCAATGTGGGGTCTCCATACTTCTGCAAAGATCAAAACTTTAACCCCCCAGGCCAAAAAGACAGGATCTTGCAGAAAAGGGATAAAGCTAAAATGGGAAACTCAGAAAAATTCAATTATTACCTCAGTGGAAGTACCAAGCTTTTCAATTGATTTCCTCATCTGGGACAGAGCAAGTTCTTGACTTCTCTCCATTTTCAGGCTTTTGGTAGTCAACTGAAAACTGGCCTTTGCTCTGCTCTGCAAACCGCAAATCGGTTCAACTACCTAGCTATTACTAGTATATAGTATATTTAAGAAGCGTTGGAGAGTTGGTTTGGGAGGGGGGGGGGGAGGTGCCTATTTTCAGGGCCACGTGGCTACATGAAAGTCTTAAATAAAATGTGACATAATGGAGAGAGGGAATGGAGGGCAGTCGCAGAAGTTGACATTAGCTGGTTTGTTGAATGGACGAGGAATCAATTGAGCAACAGAACAAAGAGGAAGAGACGAACAAAAAAATAAATGTACAGGCTACCTCAGCAAATGTGCACAGATGTGCTACTCAAATGGCGGGACTTTGTGTACAATTCTGATGGCAACACACGCATGCCAAGTTTGATGGTCGTATAAAATTCCTGTACCAAAGAAATTTGAAACTTTTTTATTATTACTTGTTACCGTTTTTATAAATAGAAAAAAATGTGTTGTAATGATGTAATGTGTACGCTCCGAGAGTTGGTTCAGATGATGGTAGGCTGGTAGTTACGAATTGATAATCGAACCCTCTTCTACCTATTGTGTATACTTGTGGGCAAGGTGCACAGTTACAGAGGATTAGTTCAGCGTAAATTGGGATACCTCCTATGTTAAAAAAAAAAAATGTAATGTATATAAAATAAAAAATAATTTAGCATTAATAAACGCTGATTCTGTCTTTTTAGCCACTCATTTCTTAACTTTATTAGTTTTCGCTACTTTTAAAAAAAGCTTGTTTTGGACACTTCAAAGTTTGCCTCAGAATAAAGGTTTGGCTTGCTTAAGGTGGATTGAATATGCTTAAATTTTTATGATAATGATAGAGGTCAAGCGATGTGTTCAATCATAGTAAAGCTGGCAAAGATTAAAAGTTCCATAATCACGTTATCAACTTTGCTAATCTCCTTGCAAAAAGTTATTCCAATTTTGTGTTTTCCTCAATGCCTAAACAGAAGAATCTTACCATTTATCAATCAAATGTCTAGTGCAATTACACCTACTATTTCACCTGCTAATCTTTTAAAGAATCCTCTCTTGTGGGGAAGTAGGCATGTTGGTGTTTGTGGCCAAAATTTTGGCGTTCAATTAAACTTGGTGCATGTTCTGGTTGGGGCGCTAGACCAGGCCGGAGTGGGGATTAGTCGGGCCGCCTTTACGGACTTGACCCGGACACCCCACTCCGTCGACAAAAAAAAAAAAAAAAAAAAAAAAAAAAAAATTAAACTTGGTGCATGTGCTATACCTTCATGGACAGAAATGGTCAATAGTGACAACTGACAAGGATGACCCAGAAGAGTAGGGTAAACCACTTTCTGTATCTTTATCTTGCTTTCATGGATCTCGTGTGTGGGACTCTGGGCCTGTTATGAGGCTGATTTCTTACCTCTGAAATTTCTCAACAAATGTTGCTCATGTTTTTTCTTTTGGCCTGAAATACTTGTCCAGTTTCAGATCTTTTGTCAACAGAGAGAATCCGTTCCCTAGATGCCACTTTAATTTTCTTGGAATCATTTTTTTTTTTTGGAACCAAACAAGAATAGTGGAATCTAATCTACTAGATTCCACTATCAAACGTTAGACATATCAATGGTTAAGATTTGTGTTGAATCTACCACGTCCAAACCCAAATTTAATAAATTTTATCCATGCATAAATCCAGATTCTCGTGGGTTTGAAAGAGAAAACCTAAACCTAGACGTGTGAGGGTTTAAAAGTACTTTTATAACATGCAAATAAATTAAAAATAAAAAATGATAAATGTGAATCGCAGAGATAATAATATTATACAATTACCATTTTCAAGTGACAAAGTTAGCATTCAAGAATATTGCATCCAAGAATTATGAATTAAAAGTAAGAGATATTATTAACTAATTAGTTATACTTGCTTCAAGGTCTAGATTTGGGTCTAGACCTGAATTATATGATTATGCATGCAACCATGGATGTTTACAATTAAACTTTATTAAGTCATTGGTAAAATGTGACTACACATAATTTTTTTTTTCTTTTTTTCCAAAGTATGTAGTTTTTTTTTTCTTTTCTTTGTATACGTAATCCAAACAAGATGGTTAGAAACGATTTTCTCTACTTTAATTTACTCTGTGTTTTTCTATTAAAATCATTTCCTTTCTATTAACCTAAACATCGCCTGAGAGTTGTTATTTTTTATTACAAATGATGGAAATTTCTTAGTAATAACGTGAAATGATGGACCTTATAAGTGAAAGAAATAATTCAAAAAACATAACATATTTTAGCATATTTTATATTTTTTTTAATCCATTGTGATTTTTTTTCCTTAGAGAGGCCATATTTTGTCTTGTTCAAGTCTTGTTCAAAATCTTCCAAATTCGAATACTAAGAGTACAGAATTCAAGATGTAAATCTTGATTCCAAATTAACAAAATTTCCTCTCCAATTCTTCAATTTTGCTATTTTATGCAGTTCAATGGAAAGTAGCCATTGTTATTGAATTCTACTGTGCTCATGCTAGTATTGTAATTTGGACAGCAAGCCCAACCGCATTGGCTCCCAATCCCGAAGATGCACTAGATGGCGGATGACTTCACCTAACTTGAAATCGGCTAAATTGGTTTGTTTGGATAGTGAAATTATCTCAAATAATATTTCGCTTGCATTATAGATACATTTTTCAACCCACTTTTTTATCTCACATACATTACATCACAAAAAGTACTGCAGTAATTATTTCAAATAATATTTTAAATAATACCCAATCCAAACAAACCCAACCGAGCAAGCTCACGAGCTGCCCCTTTACGAGTTACGACAACTCCATCTGACCAAAACCAAGTTACAAGAATTTGAATTGGTTTGACACAGAAAAATTAATACCATGAAAAGGAAGGGTATATCGCAAATGGGCAACCCTATAGAGGCCATTTATCCATTCTCATGCAGGAACGAGTGCAAGGAAGCTGAATCAAGAGCAGATCATTTTTCGGCCTCGTTGTCACTCCAAAGATCAGAGTCATGTCTAATTCTTCTGGTTTCAGATCACCATTGTGCAAGAGCCAGCCCAACAGTTGGTTGACAAAATGCTATGCCTGGACAAATTCTTCTTCCACAGCCAAATGGGATGTACTCAAAATCATCTCCTCTGAAATCAATTTTAGCATCAAGAAATCGCGAAGGATTAAATTTCTCAGGTTCACTCCAGTACTGGGGATCTCTGCCAATTCCCCATGCATTAACGATAATTCTTGCATTCTCTTGGCAATAAGAGTGGAACACTTGGGTGTAGCCTCAGGATCTCTTCAATGATTGCACGCAAGTATTTGAGCTCATGAAGGCGTGATTCATCAACATTTCCTTTGTCATTGAAGATACTTCTCACCTCATCTTGTGCCCTTTTCATTATTTTTGGGTTTTTGATCGTTTGCGAAATTGCCCACTCCATGGCCGTTGCTGATGCCTCACTACCAGCAGCAAAAATGTCCTGAAACATAAACAGAACATCTTTTTTTTTTACCAGTGATTACATATTTTACTAGACCACAAGATTCGAAGATACATAAAAAAAATTTCATTCCTTGAAAATTGTATTTCAAGATTAATCCCGTCCATCTGATTTCAAATTAAACTCATTCTCGCCACTACCTGCACCCTAGAAGTCAAAAGTGTGACTGTAGGAGCCCCAGGCCCGTGCATTGACATCACACAAAGATATTCTGTGCAAAACCGTTCGAAAAATACTCCTATAAATTATTTATCATTGAGATATTCGCTCCGTCTCGTAAAAATACACTCACTTTCTTTTCGTGTCTCTTCCAAATTATAGGCTTATTTCCTTTTCTAAAGAGTAGTTAGTTTATTATTTTACTAACATACCCGTATCTAATGTACATATAGTTATTAGCAAATGCACCACTCCATTAGTTAATTATTCTACTTGGAATATTGAACACAACACTAATAACTAGATTTACCATTTATAGGAAATAGTAACATGTGCCACTTACTTTGAAAGAATGATCTAATATTAATAAAGGGCATTTGAGGAAAGTAGAAACAAAAAATAATTGTTGTAATTACATTAACTAAATTTCTTAATTTATTTGTAAATAGAAATAGGCCTATTTTTATGAGACGGAAGGAGTAAGCATGTAAAAATAGTGGGAACCCAATCACTAAACAGATGTCATACTAGTGGACGGAATTCACACTTTTAGGCTAATTTCACCCCCCCTCCCCCCCACCAAAACAAAAAAGAACTCTTAGACACTTTCACGATTATTTAAATTCTAAAATATAAATAAAAATTCAAACAGTTTTATATTTGTCTGTAATGTTGCTGAAATCCCTAATCCTAGAAACAACAAAAAAAATTTTGTGGACGAGCATGCAAAGCTTAAAAAACTATTGAGTTTGAATTTTACTTACTAGGATAACTGCTTTGATGTTTGTATCAGTTAGTTGACGTTCAAAGTCACCAGATTTCTGAATATTGAGAAGAACATCAACGAGAGCCTCCCTACCTCCTCCACCATCCTGTTTTCCTACTTCCACTTTCTGTTTATGGTCATCGAGAATATTGTCTCGAGCATTTTATCAGCCTGCTCGTGTCCTTTCTCCAATTTAAGCCTTAGAGGATTCATCACTTGAAGCAACTTAATAGAAGGGTACATATCCGCTAAGCTGAACCCTGACGCCAGACTACTGGTTTCAGCTATAAGCTGTATAAAATTTTCTGTGTCTTTGTTTCTTTTTTCAAATGCTGCGTGACTCCTGATGCTATAGGTGAGATTGAAAATGCTTCTGCTTAAGTTGAAAATCGATCCCTTTTGTGAATAAATCAAATTAATGAGATTGAAGACCTCATCTTCTCTAATCGATTTGAAAGTTTGCACGCGCTGTGGACTGAGAAGTTCCATGTTGCAGATTTTTCGCAATTCTTCCCAGTATTTGCCATAGGGAGAGAACATAATGCCACTGAAATTATAAGAAGTAATCTTGAATGCCACATGTGTTTTAAAAATTTCTTTGGCCATTTCAGGTGAAGTGACAACAATGGTTGAAATTTCACCAAACTTAAGGTGCATCACTGGTCCATATTTCTTTGCTAAGTCTCTGAGCAAATGATGGATTGGGGAGTCAAAGAGTCGTTGCATGTTTCCTATGATAGGCAGTGGTTTAGGCCCCCGGGGGAAGCCTCAATCTTGAGTTTTTCCCCGAGGGTCTTTCGAGGACTTTGACTACCATGAAATAGAAGACAAGGAAAGAAGTGAGGAAGAGAATGAAAGCTATTGAAGATTGAAGCAACAAAAGTGCAATTTGAGTGATCGATGTTTGCTTGGTGAAGTACTGGTTTTATAGCTGATGATACATTTAAAAATCACTTATTAATTTGGCATCGCCAGAAATTATCAATGTTTTAAAAGGTGAGTGCATTGGGCGGAGCGCTTTACGTCCGTCCAAGTGGGACGAAATCCCTGAGACGTGGGATGTAAGTCTCACAAATTTTGATTTTATAAATATATAAAAAAAAATGTAAAATAATACTACAAAATTATAATATTCATACATATATGTGTGTATATATGTTACTAATAAATATAAAAAAATTGATAAAATTAAGAAAGTTTCAAAAATATTATTGTTGTCTAACAAGTAAAATCACAACTTAATTCTAACTCATACATTAGCCATCTAGAATCATGTTAATAAAAAATATTTAGATTTTGGAATCAAAAGAAAAGGCAAAAAAATATGAAACAAAGTCATGGATGCTTTTTTTTTTTATCCTTCTTTTGGTAGGTGAGAAAATTTAAATTCAAAATCTCTTATTTACAATTCTTCTCATCTTATAATCCAATCTAACTCTTCCCGATTGAGACCGGAGACATGAGATAGGTTAGAAGTCCTTTTTCAACTTTTTATTTGGCAAGTCTTTTTTCAACTTACCACAAAATAAGTCACACTGGGCCCATATTTTAGCAAACTAATACGGAAGTGTTGCTGTTAACAAATTATTCTTTCTTTCACAGCTAAGTATGATTGTTTGCAGATTCCACACTCTCCTTTCTGGGATGATTTGGTTTTTTTTTTTTTTTATTTTAACCAATCATCACATATCTACAACTACTACTGACCTACAGGTAAGGATGGCAACGGGTGCGGATACCCGCCCCGCGGGGGTGTATTGGGGCGGGGGGAAATTTTTTCCCCTGTTTAGAAACGAGGCGAGGGACCCCCAGCCCGCCACCCGTTTAGAAAAAAAAAGATATATATATATATATATATATGTGCATAATTATATATATAATGATATTATCAATTATACTACTAATTATGCATGTCTATTAATAAAAATTATTAATTATTTTTACTAAATTTATTAATACATTTATATTAAATTCCTAACTAAACTTAATACAATAACATTTTCTTCTAAAAAAACACAATAATAATTAGTGATTGTATTTGTATCAAAAGTAAAAACTTGATTATTTTAGTTATATTTGTTTTATCATATTAGATTGTATTCGAATAACTTTTGTTTAATTATTTTTATGAGTTTCAATTGTGAAGTTGCATTGAATAATAATTTGATGATATATTGATATTTTAGTACTTGATTATTTGCTCAAATTTAATTATAATAAAAAAATTTTAACCCCACAGATGCCCGCGCTGAGGAAACAGGACGGGGCTGGGCAAGCGGGGGATGGGGGACGGGTGGGAGAGGGATCCCCCGCCCCATTGCCATCCCTACCTACATGGAGGGGACAGATCCAATTGAATCATAAAAAATTCAAAAGGAACTGAACGCCACCAAACCCATCCTAAGATTATTTGAATTTTTTTTTTTTTTTATCAATCATCACATATCCATAACTATTACAAATCTATAAAGGCACTGCACTTGGGCATTTTTTTTGGTCCCCTATTTTTTTTCTGGGATAATTAATTGTATGAATTTCCTCTTAATTATCACTGACTTGTGCTTTACTCTCTTGAACATTTTTTTAAATAATTAACCACCTTAATGATATATTCGGACAAAACTGTCTTTGCATTCAGAAAATGTTAATGATAGTCCTTTTTCTTTGTTTTTTTTTTGGGGTTGTTTGTGTGTGGGGGGGGGGGGGGGGTGTTTGTTTTACGTGGAGTATCATTTTATTCCCAAAACAGATTACAATAAGAAGTTCAGAACTTGGCAGAAGCCAAACTAACAACACTGTCCAAAACAAACAAACTAGTACTCTCATTCATTTCAAGTAAACAAACAGAATACACTCACACTAAGAGGATACGGATCCAAATTTCATGCTTCATTTGTCAATAAGTATTTGTATTCTTCACTAAATTTACAACCATTCCTTATTAGGCAGTTATTTGGTCTTTTATTTTTTTTCTTCCTTTTACCCTTCACTCCCTCTTGAATTTTCCCATTCAATTTCCTACTACAATATTGACCTTCTTTCTTTTCTATTTAAATATCTGCAGCATAACACAACTACCTCAATTAGATATGAGAAAAGCATAGTTTCAATTGTACTCAATTTTCTAACTCTATTAACAAGTAATCAATAGACTAGCAGCATTCCAGCTCAGCCATCCACAAGCAACCGTAGCAAATTACTTTGGTTATTCTAGCTATGGTTTGCATTCTGAGATATGTTGATAGAACCATAAAACATGATGTTCAACTCCTTATATAGGGTTACTTTCCACAATATACATCCCATTTTAGGATAAACATACGGGCACCACAATCACGTTTAGGCCAGGTAACAACAGAAAATTTTGACCATTATGCAGCTTGCTCACACTACTATAAAATAAGTGAACAATTCTGAATCTCCAATGTGACCAATAAGGCAATAACTACACAATTATGTCGGCTAGGTGCCTTGAAGATGAATGGTTCCATACATAATTTAAATTTTTGACTTAAAAAACTTATTGCTAGAAACTAAAAAAAAAAAAAAAAAAGCGGGTAACAATGCCAGATTGTATGTTGATACTGTCTAATCATCACTACCAAGACAAGTTCTAGAATAAATACAAAGAGCTGAATGAATGTACCACTTTCTACTCAAATTTTATACAAGGATTAAATTTTCAGAACCTGAAACTGAATTCTCCGGACAAATGCTGACATGACTAGTTGTAGGCACTCAAGGAACACAGATCCTCATGTTCACGTTCGGAACCGAACAACTCTGCATCATGGTAAATTAGAGCTGCCCAGTTTCTTATCAACGCACTCCACCAGCCTAAAAAGATGCACCAACAGAAAATCTAAGATAGTTATTCAATTTAAGAGCCAAAACTGGTGCATCTGTATTTCTACATCCTGACTGAACTGCAAATTAGATCAGACATCCACCCCAAGTGAGAAACAATGACTTCATTGCTTTGAGAAAGTAACTCAAACGACTTAGACTTCAGAAATATACAAGACATATTACTGTAAAAGATACTAAAAATTCAAAAGCCTCAGAAAATATAAGATTGTAAGCATTTCTTTGCCAAAACCCAGTAGCAGATGTAAGCACATTCATGCACGCACGTCTAAAAACTTTACCTAATCTGAGAAGACACTCATAACATCAGCAGGGGAAAGACGCCGTAACATGGGAGCTCCCACTTTAGCATTTTCAACAAGGTTCATGCTCGGCTCCTGCTTCACGTTGTTTGCATTGTTCTCTCCATACATCTTTTCTTGATTCAGGTTACCAACTGGCAAACCAGCTTCATCCACAGCAAAACGACTAGGAATTGATGTCCCTCTTCCAACAAAGGCAGTACTCTTAAGCATTCCATGATCAAACATTTGCCCAGAAGTATCATAAGAGTCTTGCAGAGCTGACATATTAGGAACAATGGCTGACAACTGTCTGGCTGGGCCAAATCTTGAGGCTGAATTCTGAACATGAATGCCAACACCATTATCTGCATTGACAGATCCAGATGACAAGGTTGGAGAGATTGAACCAGCACCAGATAGCCCACCAAGCATGCTTGCAGGTTTAATTTCCACATCTCCCATCCTCCCAGAGTTCAATGAAGAAATATTTGATTGAGGCGACAGAATGCTGTAATCTATGATGGAAGTTCCACTAAGGCTGCAGCTTTGATTGACAGAAGCAAGGCCATTTCCTGTGTGGAAGTTGGCTGAAGAATGGGAGGGAACCACAAGACAAGAAGGCTGTACATTAATCAAACGACTAGGCTCTTGAAGTGTAGAATGTTTCTGTGGTTGTTCTTGCTGCTGTCTATGCTGTTGTTGCTGACGCTGCATTACGCTCAACATCACATTACCATTCTGAGCGGTTAAACCAGCAAAGCTATCACAATTACCCATATTAACGAGGTTTTTTGATGGCCAGGCTCCAGGTCCAGAATGAGTATTATCAGCAGAAGTAACAGTTTGAGAAAATTGCTTGGACATGTTGGATGGGCATTTCATCAATGGCTGGCCGTAAGCAACATTCTGATCAAGAGCTATGCACTTGGATACTGGCAGAGATGCTTGTAGTAAATTTGTTTGGTCCATTCCAGGCAATACCAGGTTACCCGTTGGTCGATTTAAAAACTCGGCATGCAATGCTGCCAAAGTTTGTGGTGGAATATTACCAGAGGCAGCCAATGCTTGAATATCAAACCTTCCCAGTGAACCTACTTTTGGATTTGGCTCCAGCGCCCCACAAAAGGAACTCGGAAGGCCAGCCTGCTGTTGGGCTACTCCACTTAACCTTTTTAAATACAGTCTAAATTTCTGCAATACAGATTATGAAAACGCTTCAAGGATTCATATATCGAAAGCTAAAGTTATGACAAGCAACGGATCATGAATTCTACCCGATGGTAGTATTATCAGGTCATGGAAAATGACATGATAGACCACCAGTAGCTTAGGACATGCAACCCAGATATTTGCAATCAAGTTGTACATGATAACTACAATGCATGCCATGGCACGTATGCAGACTTTCATCTCAAACTTGACACAATAAATACCATAAGCATGCACGATTCTTTATCTAAAGGTGCAAGGTGAAAAGGATAACTGATTAAGACACTTAACTTGTGTTAATGATGCATTTCAAATCACATGCATACACAAGGAGAACAACAAACAGAATCAAGGTGTGCAACTAATTGGAAACCGAACTAACTATGACGCATTCTTAAAATGTTTATAATCAATAAATAATAAAGACTAGAATCTGTTTTATAATCAATAAACAATAGAGACTAGAATCTGTTTTTAGCTTATCACCTTAGCTTTTTGGCCCTCCTTTAGCATAATTTAAGATAAAAGAAGTAGATTACGAGAAGCAACCCCAAGTTACCTTTGCAAGTGCCTTTTGACATTTGAGTTTAAAAGCAAATACATGCTTTCAACATTTTTCACATCCTTTGTAATATTCACTTTCATTTACACAGATATGAAGCATATGAAAAGGACAATAGGCTTCAAGCAGAGGAGAGCCTGTTCTTCTCTCCTCTAGTTGGGTGAATTTGTTCTTCAGTAACCAGAATCTCAACTGCCACGTCTGTTTTAGTTAAAACTCCAAAAACCAAGAAAATAAACAACATTAAGATGTATTTACAGTGAAAGGCACGACATACTTGTCATTATTAGTCATGATCCACCCCATAAGCTGACACACACTATCAACCGCGCCGGGGGGGTGGGGGGGAACTTAAGTGTCAAATTGTTTCTCAATTATTTGAAACCTATCCTTTGGTATTTGAGGAATTTGAAAAACCTTTGAGAAGGAAGACAGCAAACAAGGCAAAAGTAGATGCTAGACACTTTTTACCACAAGCACAACCACCCTAATGTGCAAGCGTACAAGATTAACTCCATGTCCTAGAAAAGGTAATATTTATCTCAAACATATGATACACGAAAATTTTAAGCAACGCAGAAGTTCTTACTATCACTAAAAAGAGTTAAGCTTATATGCACAAGTAGCTTTAGATAATATGTCTCGCACTCTCATATTGCTGCTCTCCTTTCAACTTTAGAATCAGTTACCTAGCTATGATTAAACCCAAGCAGAAACCTCCCAGTCAAAAAGAGCAGAAAAATCCATGATTCTATTTATTTCTTTATTTATGAATGAGTAAATTATCTTTTCAAAAATAATGTCAAAGTAAATCACAATTCTACCAAATTAGAAAGCTCTGTACAAGAGGGCACTTCTCATAATATCTCATTTTTCGTAAGAATATGTGCATGTGAAACAGAAATTGCATATGACTTTTCCAGCTCTATAACGGTGGGTTTTTTTAGTTTTTGTTGTGGGGGTGGGGGGGGGGGACTTCTAATGCTATTCAGTTTTGTCCTCAGTGATACTCAAGAACCTAGCTACTTGTTGATTATTCAATAGCCAAAAAATGCTCCTTTCTTCCACATTTCACCAAGAGGTGGAAGGGCTTAATCATGTTATTCCACCTGCAGAAACAATGGATGCTATACATATCCCGTTCTAATCTTGCATCCACCAATTTTGATAGTTCTATGTACACAAAAAGTCAAATACAAGGAAGGGAAAATATCAGATGTCAAGAAAAAAAATTCTAATCTGCCATAGATTCCAACCTGCAAATGGCTTGCCACGTTCTCTCTTGTTAATCCTGGTACATTCATCAATTCCAGAATCCTCTTCGGCACAGCCTCTATACAAGGAGACACAAAGTTAGGAAAAAAAAAACCCACACAAGAAAGCAACAAAACAAGCACCAAGAACATAAATACCATAGCTACCTATCTAACTTTGAGAAAAACATATAATTTAGGAAAAGGTAGACCGGAACTACCAAAACCAATACTGACATGTATTTAAAAAAAAAGGCAAAAGTTCATACTATCAATCCCCAGGTGGTTGACGGCACTAACAAATTGTTGATGAAGCTCAACCGACCAGACTACACGTGGCTTCTTTGAAGTAGTAGGGTCATCATTTTCTATCTCGGTATCATCTTCTTCTTTAGTATCTTTCCTTCTCTTCAATGATTTTTCAGCTGCTCCTTCATTAAAAGAAGAAGTATATTCAGCATCATCAATTCCATTTTTCGGCCAATCATTATCTTCCGGGCCACCCGAGTGCTCATGTTCTTTACCCACATTACATCTTTTTCTAACTACATGCTGCCAAATATTCTTCAACTCTTCTGTACGTATAGGCTTAATCAGATAATCGCAAGCTCCATGTCTGATTCCCCTCATGACGAGGCTGGTTCTGTCATCTCCAGACATCACTGCAGAACAGAATAGGTTGTTAAGTAAAAAAAGAATTTTAGACTATCTGAGCTAGCAAAAAGAAATTCCACTTACTTATGACAGGAAGGTCCATTTCCAAGCCAACAAGCTCAAGAAGTTTAAAGCCATCCATATCGGGCATGTGAACATCACTCAGCACAATATCAAAAAAACCTTTCCTTTCCCTTAAGAGGTTCAAAGCAACAGTAGCCTGGGAACAAGTGGTAACTGCAAGTAACTCCACATTGTCAAATAAATCAAAGGACATAGTAGTTCATAAATGAGAGTAGGCATTAAAGAGAACCAAGAAAAGAGAAAGTAAAACAACTCTGTACTATTTCTCCCTAACAGTGACTGATGGTTTAGAACAACTACCAAATGCAAAAAAATCTAAATCATCAAAGATCTTGATGAGAACTTGCACAAATTCATTGGCATATAATAAAAATGCCAAGGTAATAAATTTAGGATTCTTACACAATTTTTTGGCAAAAGAACATCATGATCCAAAAGCATGAGCACAAAAGAATAATCACTTTTAGTTAGCTTAAATTTTTACTTGTGTTTATTTTATTCTTATTTGACAAATGGGGAAAGGAGGATAAAAGTGAATGATTTAGATTTTGGTTATCCTTAATTAAGTACCAGAATTTATTCTGAATGTGATTTTGAAGCATAACTTGGTAATGATGGGCATAACATCTTTTTGTTCCTTTCTGTGAACTATGTTCCACTGAGGACGTTTTAAATGAAAATTTTCTTTAAGTTTCAATGCCAAAAAAAAGGACTCCTAAATGATCTTTTTGATAGTTTGCAATACACATGGAAGGAAGAATGTCAAAAATCTATACAATCTTTTTCTTAAATAAAAAAATGAATTTCCTCCTTTACTGACCATACACAATTGAAAAAGAGGAAAACAAAATGTTTAATGAAGTATGACCACAGTAGGTTAACTAATTTGATTCCAAAGATATGCTGGAGAAATTGTAACACTTCCATTCTCAGTCTATAAGTATTTCAAAAGAAGCAGGATATTCATAACTAATACTTTCTGAATAAGCAAAGTTAATATATCTCGACACCCAATCAAAAAGGACAATAGTTCAGGAAAGTTAATGCAATTTTTGTTTGCTTTACAGGTTGAGTATTAGAAGGAAACATCATTGATTGTACAAACTGAAAGAGGCAAAATACTATGACATAAAGTAAATAAAACATTATGTTAACTTCCTTAACAAAAGCAAGAGATTTTATATGACAAGGAAAACCAATATGGCCTTCTGTTACATGTTGTATGATACATAATAGAATATAAGAAAGGTAACCCTTCACTTTGAAAGCCTTAAAAAATTGTTCGAAGCTTCCAATTTTCACATAAAAGAAACACTCAATTATGCGCTGGAACCAATATTCCGGAGACCCAAATCATATACATATGAGAAATGGGAAATTCATGTCCAAAAGGTAACTAGAATCTACATTAAACATTAAAAAGCTCCTTGTTTTAGAATAAGGAGCACCCATTAGTCATGATCATCATCATGTCTGAATACCGGAAAGTAAAATCATCTATCAAAATCATGTCAGAGGAATAGTAAACAAGATCAAGGGAGTTAACTTAGTATCACTCAGTGTCAGATTGCGCCATTCAGTTGAGAAGAAAACAAAAAGGAGGGGGAGGGGAGGGAGGGAGGGAGAGGAGGGGGGCTATTGAATTAAAAGGAGGACTTATCATATTCCAAACAAAATGACACAAGTAGAAAGCCAACACTGCAGCTCGACCTTTTCACATTTCTTAATCCTTTCAACCGTATTCAGGAATATATATCTAAATTCACTCCAAACCTTAGTAAAACAAAACCAAAAGCAAGAAACGAAAAAGGAATTGAAATGATATTATTCCTTCTCAATTACTTTTCTCTTTACTAAATACATAAATCAAATCAAGCCCTAATACCCAAAAATCAGCAATACATACAAGTTTCACACAGAAGTAGTAATAAACCACTGACCAAACCATAAACTCATAAAATTAACATTTTTTTTTCGGGCAACACATAAACTTAACTTAAAATACAGAAAACAAAAAAGAAGAAATAAAATAAACTTTGCAAAATTAATTCTGACCCATATACAGGCACTTCCGAAGCATTTGCTCAAGAATTCTCAAACAAATGATGTCATCGTCCACCACCAGAACCTTTAACCCTACCGGAAACTGCTCCGGCACCGGTACCGCCTCATTACAAGCACTCGCCATTAAACAATTATTAATTCTAAAAAAAAAAGAAAACGAAAAACCAAAAGCTCAAACTTTACTGGAAACCCTTTCGAGAATATTAACAAAATGAGCTCAAAATTGAAGTGAAACCCCCAAGGGCAGTGGGATTATTATAGGGAAAATGATAACAAGGCATAATGATGATCAACGGTGGTGAAATGACTAGTTTGACCTCGATAGAAAGGGTTTCTGGGTAAGAATTTTGTGGGGAGAAAAAGGGGGGATTTAGGGAAATTAGGGTTTCTTTGAGTGGAATGATTGAGAAAATTAGGGAAAAGAGGTTTGAATTGAAGGAAGGAACAAATAAGTCAACTAGGAGAAGAAGAAGAGAAAAAATGGATAATGGGAGAAACAAAAGGAAATTTGTTTTGAATTGTCTTATTTGCCATATATACCACTGAAGATTGGACTCGGGAGACTGGGGAGAGAGAGAGAGAGAGAGATATTTATATATACACATGTAAGGGGACGCCTCCGTGGAGAGTGAGTGTGTGTTAATTGCAGAAACGACCCTTCTGAATTTTTTTCTTTTAATAAAAAGTTTGATTGATTTTAACTTTGATAATCATTACGAGTTACATCATGACTATTTTTCAAGTATTTTGGAGATCCTCTAATTTTTAGTCTTCGAATTTTGTTTTGGGTCGATGATTAGGATAAATGTGTCGAGCACATGGTACAAATGCAAATGAGTACAATCAATAAACATTTTAAACTAATTTGAGTAGTTTAACGAATTTGAAATTATGTTCAAAATTAGTTTGCTCATGTTTTGAGTCAAAGTAGAATGAATTTTTACCGAGTCAAGATTACGACAGCAAGCTAAAGTAATTTGAATTATTTGCACGTAATTTTCAGATATACTACTCTTATCCAACTAAATCCCTATATAATAATTCAATTTAGCATTTTAATTTAATGGATTCAAATCTTAATAGTTTTATATGTGTTTAATAACAAAAAAATAAAGCATCTAAATTAATTACATAGTACTGAATTTTCAAAACAAAACTTGCTTCATAAATCATTCACTCATCACTTAATGTGATATACTTAACAGATTTAGATTTTAGATTTCAATTTTATCAAATGCACTCTAAGCTTTGCAAGATAAAAAGGTAAATGAATGCTAAAAATGGTTAATGGTTGATTGATTAGTTTAAAGAATCAATCTTGTGCATTAAAAAAAAAAAGAATCAATCTTGAACAAAACCCCTATCGAATTAAGATCAATCGAATATAGAATACTAGCATTTTTCGTTTTTTTTTTTTCAAACGTTTGAATAAGTTTTCATCACTTATGGAAGTTCACTTTTTGCACCCTTTCTATGTGATTAACCATAATGGAAGAAGCCCGTGAAGAACTTATGTTATGATCTCCAAATTAAATTTAGTGTTATTTATGACTCTCATAAATTTCTTTTTCTCAAATCTTAGTGAAAACTCAAACATCAAATTAAGAGCTTTTACATGGAGATCAGGTGGTTGATTCATGCTGAAAATGTAGCAACAAAAGCTATGTTTTGCAATTTCTACTCCAAAAAGAGAGGGTTAAAAATGTTTGATGTACTCAATGTTTAGCAAGATAAAAATAATCCAATTCTCTTGGGACAAAGATAAATTATTTTAAAAGAATAGATAACCCTTTATTTTTTTGAAGGTGTAAAGCACTTAAATACAAAAAGTAAATGTGTACTTATTCAAGAAAAACTTGAGAATTTGGAAATTTTCAATGCCATTATATAGTTGTACCCTTTGTCAACTCGGCCACAATGAGGTCGGCTGTACTTACTAGTCGGTCTAACAGTCCAAAAAGCACCCACGTCCCACTCACACTTTAGTGGTCTACATGGACTTTGGAGGTTGAAATATATGTCAACCCAATCTAACTTGATGTTCCCAAAAAAAAGAAAAAAAAAAACCCTGTCTTACTTGGAAATGTGTAACCAATATTTGAACTAAGTTGATGCTATATTCAGTCACTGTTTGTATAAAAATTATACATAATAATTGAGTTTCTGATACGATTTTATACAAATAGTTAATAATACATCACAATTTATACGATTGTCCTCAAGCCAAAAACTCACAAAATAGTAATGTCCTTACATTGGATATTTCTTAATTCTGATACTAAAGCAGTTTGAAAGTAACTAAATGTCTAAAAATACTTGCCAGCATATCTATCTTATAAAGGAGTCAAAAGTAGACAAGAACAGCGTTTTGGGTTCAAAATGTAGTGCCAGAAGGAGAGCCAAAAATGAAGATGAAGAAGAGGACAACAAAAAATATGCAGATGTAGCAATGATGGAGGCATGTGCTCTTTCTCCAAGATAGGAAGCTCTTCTTTTGAAAGCAATCGTTGCAATTGTTCTCTCCATGCATCATTTCTTGATTTACATTGCTAACTGGCAAACCAATTTCATCCACAGTAAAACGATTAAGAATCGATGTCCATCCACCACCCAAGTCAGTGTTTTTAGGCATTCCAGGAGAATTCTGCAACACGGGAATATAAGGAACATGGACTGGCAACTTTCTGGATGGACCAAATGTTAAAGCTGAGCTGGGAACTTGCACGGCAACACCATTATTTGCGTCTACTGAACAGGCAGACAAAGCTGGAGAACCTGCAGCTGATGACCCGCCAAGCACGGTTGTGGATTTAAGTTGAGCATCTGCTGTTCTCCCAATCCCCGTAGCAGGAATATTTGACTGAGGCGAGACGATGTTGTAATTTATGATGGAACTCCTACCAGGGCTGCAATTTTGATTAGCAGAAACCAGGCTATTTACCACTTGGAAGCTGGGGGAAGAATGAGCTGGAACAACAAGATGAGAAGGCTGTACAGTGATTGAATAATTAGGCTTTGGAAGAATAGATAAATTCTGTTGAGGTTCCTGCTGCTGTCTCTGTTGTTGAAGTTGCGTCGTGCTCATCATTGAAGTACCATTTTGAGAACGTAAACCAGTAACATTATCACCAGCAACCATCTTATCAAGGTTTTTTGAAGACCAGGGATCAAGTCCAGAAATGGGATTGTCAGCAGCAACAGTCTGCGAAATATGCTTGGGTATGTTGGATGGGAATTGTATTGATGGTTGGGTGTACACAACATTCTGACCAAGCTCAGGATGAAATGCTGCCAAAGTTTGTTGTGGAATATGACCACAAGCAGCCAATGCTTGGACATCAAACCTTCCTGCTGAACCTACTTTTGGATTTGGCTCATCAATCCCACCACAAAAAGAACTGGGAAGGCCGCCCTTCTTTTGGACTACTGCACTTAGTCTCCTCAAATATAGTCTATATTTCTGCAGAACAGTAATCACCAAAAACTAATATATACGTATCTGGAATGCTAAAGGCAATTAAAAGAAACACATCAATTGAAAACAAAATTCTATCCGTTTGTGGACACTGAAGATGACATGACAGACTCTACTAATAGCATACGACTTACAATCCAAGTGCCCACAGAAAAGTTGCAGATGATGACTGCAATGGCAAGCCCGCACACATTCCACCAGCAATTAGACAATAACATACAACAAGCAAGAAAGAAAGAAGCAATAACATACCAATAGCATGCCTAGTATCCCAGCATTTTAGTAGAAAGAAAGAATATGACTTTTTATGAGCTTAAGCAAACATTTCAAATCAAGTGCACACAGAAAAACAGCAAAAGGAATAGGGGAGGTAACTATATGGAAAGAAGTAGCGACCAAGGGCCTGCCATGTGTCAGTTACAATCAGTTAATGGGGGTAAATGAAGATTTCATCGCAGAATCTAACCTGCAAATGGTTTGCCACGTTTTCTCTGGTTAAACCTGGCACATTCATCAATTCCATAATCTTCTTTGGTGTAGCCTCTGTAAAAGGAAACCTAAAGTTAAGCAAGAAACGGAGACTTTAAAAAGAGCAGCAAACATAGAAGTAATAGACAGCTGTCTATTTAGAATCTAAAAACAGGTTTAAGAAGAAAACTTAGACCAGAATTACAAAAGCATACTGATGCGTTGCAAAAGCTAAAAAACAAAAGTTCATACTATCAATTCCCAGGTGGTTCACAGCACTAACAAATTGTTGATGAAGCTCAATCGACCAGATTACAGGCGTCTTCTTTGAAGTAATAAGGTCATCTTTTCCTATTTCAGTATCATCTTTTTGTTTAGCATCTTTTCTCTTTTTTGTGGATGTTTCTGGTTCTCCATCTGCTCCTTTATTACCAAAAGAATAAGCATACTTAGCCTCATCACTTCCCCGTTTGCGATGATCATAATCTTCCATGGTATCCAAATGCTCATTCTCTTTTCCCTTATTGCATCTCTTCCAAACTACATGCTGCCAGATATTCTTTAACTCTTCAAAGCGTATAGGTTTAATCAGATAATCACAAGCCCCGTGCGTGATTCCCTTCATAACGATACTTGTTCTGTCATCTACAGACATCACTGCAGACCAGAACATATTATTAACAAAGCATTTTTTCAGCATGTAAGCCAGAGAAGACAAACATCACTTACTTATGACCGGCAGGTTCATTTCCAAACTAACAAGCTCAAGAAGTTTAAAGCCATCCATATCGGGCACATGGACATCACTTAGTACAATATCAAAAAATCCTTTCTTTTCCCTTAAGAGATTCAAGGCAACAGTAGCCTGGGAACAAGTGGTAACTGCAAGCAACTCCAGATCATCAAATCAATAATAATAAAAAAAAGACATAGCATTAAACTAAGCATTGGGTCAGAAAACAAACAGTGGCGATTCAACCATTGCTAAATGCAAGAAATTTGGCACCATCGATCAAAGACATTGATGCAGGAACTTTCACAAAAATATAATCTTAAACCAATTATTTAGATATAGTGACATAGAACATGTGAATAATTAACAAACGCAAAATTTTTGTTTGGTAAAAAGATTGGCTCATGAACCCAAGTTCTTGTTTTTTACCAAATGCATTGGAAAATTATTAAAGAACGTGAATAGTTTGACAAATTTCCATGATAAATAGGACTGAAAAATGACTAAAACACATATTCTCAATTTTTTTTTCACTTTTACTATATCAATTTTCCAGACTGGGAGAAAACTAATATACTCGTAAAAGAACTCAGAATACACGGAAAAAACAGAGATTTTGAAAAATCAATACCGACCCCTGTACATGCACCTGGTAAGCATTTGTTCAAGAATTTTCAAGCAGGTTAAGTCATCATCTACCACCAACACCTTTAACCCCGCCGGAAACGGCAGCGGCACAGGCAAGGCCTCCTTGCAAGCAGTCGCCATAGAGGAATGAAGTGACAAAATGGAAAATTTATTGCGCCAAAACTTTTGCGCCCAAAAGGAATCGGTCTCAGAAGTTGGAAGGAAGCTTTTGACAGTGGAGTATTAATTT